CCCCAGCGGACTGCCATTCCGACTCCCTGCCTTCCTTACCCATCACTCACCAGAGAGCTCCCAGAGCCAGACACCCTTTCTCAGCTTCTCCCCAGTCACGCGTGAGACAGTTCTGGACCATCTCCTGGGAAAGGGGGTGGCTCTGGAAAAGCCTTTTCTACTGAAAGGAGAGGGGTGCTTGTAGAGCAGCGGTTCTCAACCTGTGGGTCACGACCACTTTGGGGGGGGGTCGAATGACCCTTTCACAGGGGTCACCTAAGACATAACAGTAGTAAAATTACAGTTATGAAGTAGCAACAAAAATAATTTTATGGTTGGGGGTCAGCACAACATGAGGAACTGTATTAAAGGGTCAGGGCATCAGGAAGGCTGAGAACCATGATGTAGAGGAAGGCCTGACTCACCTCTACCTTCCTTCACATCCCGCTGAATGAGGGCACTATATTTGGTGCTATGATAGTCACTTTACAGCTCTGAGGGGACAACCAAGAACAAAAACCAACATGCTGAGGACAGCAGAGTAGAGGATGGAAGTCTTGGTCCTTGATGACCCAGCTGAGTTGCTGACCTAACCCAAGGTCTGTTTATCTGTGGACTTAAGATAAGTCTCCTTCCGGTTTAAGCCATTGATTGTCAAGCTGTTACTTTCACACAGAATAAACCAAACCAAAACAAGAGACAGGGCCTGGAAACTTAACTGATTATGAAGGGTTTGCAATAAAGAGGAATTTAGTTTTACTCTCAGGGTTCTGGCTTGGACAACTGAATAGAAGGTGATAGTTATTAAAATTATAGCAGAGAGGTTTGGAGGGGATGTTGGATGGAGTAAAGGGGAAGGGTCTAAGGTGGGGATAAAGAGGGGAAAAGTTTGTTACTGGACATATTGCTTTAGAAATATTATGGAATCATTTAGGTGAACAGTATGCTCAGATGAGTTTGGAACACATTAAAAAAGTCTGACTTAAAAAAACAAATCAAATCGAAACAAAAAAGGGAAAAAGAAAGAAAAAGAACAAAAGACAAAAAGGAAAACAACAGCAAAAAAAGTCTGACAGATTTGCTGCCGTGTGGGAAGTCAGATCCTATCACACCTGCATGACCCTGCACTCTCGGAAGAGTTGAAGGGAGAGCAGAGCAATGTTTCCTTACTTGAAGAGTTCTGGAAAGTGTCTTTTCTCCTAAGGCTTGGAAGATGTACAGATACTATTTCAAAACAGGAAGAAAATTGTTTATAGAATGAATCTACACACATTATCACACTACTGCATATTTTTACCTTATAAAAATTCATTAGTAGCCAAAATAATCTGAAAAGCACATAATCTGGAATTATGACAAATGAAAATCTTGTGCCTGACTACATCGGAGATTGTCCCAGCAACTGAAATGAATCTGAATTACCTGCTTTACTATGCAGGCCAGTCAATTAGGAATACGTGAATAACCTCATTCCCAAGACTCAGAAAATACTCCAGGGCATGTTTTATTGGTGGCAGATTATCCCAAGGTACAAAGAGAAACATAATCACTGAGAAGGTGGCAAGCAATAATTTAGCAGCGCTGTATAAGATTAGGTAGCCTTATGAAGATTACATGATTCTCCCACGAGAAGGAAGTTAATACAGGTGACCCCGATACGATGATTTTGTACATATGGCAGTTACAGGAGAAAATAAATGATCACCAGCTCCCGATCTAGTGAATAGGAGCAGGTGACAGTCTCACAGACAAGAGGCGCAAGGATACATGGCAACAGGTCCCTATAAACAATGATTATTAGTGCATGTTTACAAAGTTTGGACTGGAGAGACAGCTGATACGCTAGGTGGTACAACGACAGCAATCCTCATCAAAGGCATCTATGTTGAACATGAAGTACTACCAAAGATAAAAGGAACATGCCCCTGCCCTGGCTGGTTTGGCTCGGCAGTCAGAGCATCAGCCCCGTAGACCGAAGGGTCTTGGGTTTGATTCCTGGTCAAGGGCATGTACCTGGGTTGCAGGTTTGACCCCTGCCCCAGCTCACACAGATGTTTCTCTCTTTCTCTCTCTCTCCCTCCCTCCCTCCCACTCTATCACTCTATCTAAAAGAATCAATGGAAAAATATCCTTGGGTAAGGATTATGTTTTTTTGGGTGAGAATTAACCAAAAATAGGAATATGCCCTTGATATCAAGCAAAAATATTTAAAAACCAATACTGACTTGAGCGAAATGAATATTAACAGATACAAATTTGTACCTCAACTGGTCTTAATTCCAAAATGCAATTCTGATCATGCTGCTCTGGATCACAAAACTTTTAAGTTGGTCCCCTGGCTCACAGACCCCCAAAGCCCTTCAGTCCAGCCCCAAACTAAGAAAAGTTCTAATCAAACTTTCAGTTTGACTCCTTTCATGTATCCTGCACTTTGGTTATTCTGGACCAGCTAGTATTTCCCACATTCAGCCTGTGCTTTCCCATTAGGCTGACAGTTATGTGTCTGTGGAGTTCCTGCCCGTCTTCCAAGCTTCCCTCTTTATCTTTCAATGTTTCCTGATCCTACAACCTCATGTAATCCCTCCCTAACATCTTGTTCTGCTCTTACGCAAACCATGCTATTACTGTTGTACCTTCCCTATGATATTCTAAACTCCTTAAAGAAGAAAGGATAATTAATTCATTTTTGTGACTTCTATAGGATCATAACTAAATAACTGTAGGTTGCTGAATTAGTGACATAAATCACAAACGGAAGCCCTCAAAAGAACATACAAAGGCAAGTTTATTATAAATCTAATGATTCAACTATTTACCATTCTGATAAACAGTTACATGCTGCTTCTCCTGTTGACAGGAAAAAGCAATGTATAAGTAATAAAAAATGGCCCTCGTCGGTTGGGCTCAGCAGTTAGAGTGTCGGCCTGCAGACCAATGAGTCTCAGGTTCGATTCTGGTCAAGGGCATGTACCTTGGTTGCAGTTTGTCCCCAGCCCTGGTCGGGGTCATGCAGGAGGCAGCTAGTGATGTGTCTCTGTCACATGGATATTTCTCTCTCTCTCCCTTCCACTCTATCTGAAGATAAATAGAAAAATATCCTCGGGTGAAGATTAAAAACAAAACAAAACAAATTAAAAAAAAGAAATAAAAAAATGAGAATTACTCAGTAAAGAAGATAATGAATCAGACTATGGTCTGGAAATTCCAGACCCTCCCTATTTTGAGTCATCTAGACAGGTTCAACTTATCCTTTCCTCTACCTACTTGCTCTGTAACTACCTCTTTACAAAAGTGATGTGAGGAACAAGATCTTTGTTAATTAGTGAATATTGTTAACATCTTTTGGAACACTCTTCCCTTTAAAATGTGGTTTCAGTGTCTCTAGTTTTTCCTACATTAACCACAATTAGCAATGATTTCTGTGATTCACAGAATAACTAAAGTGTAAAAAGTTTATGCCAAAAAATGTATTTTCAGTTTTATTGAAAAAGCAAAACGACTCTTCCTATTTTCACAGATTTCTTTTAGGCTAAGAAATTGTGGCCTCCTAGTCACTGCATAATACTAATTTAGAGAGGGGTTTAACAATCTAGAAGACGAGATATGCTCAAGAGCAGAATATATTTTGAGGGACGATTTATAATCGTTACGAATAAACAAGAAGCCAAGTTCAGATCACTGGAGTGGGTAAAAAAAAAAAACAGTAAAAGGGCAATTTAAAGTCTTGAAAAATAAAGGTAGCCATCTGACCACAAAAAGTTTAAATCTAGAGAATTATTTCTTAACCAATGACAAAGGCCAAAGACCTTACAAAGGACCATATTTTTCTAGGATCTCTATGATTATTCTTCATTGTAACTGTTTCATATTTCACTTCTCTCAGTATGTTAACCTCCAAGCTCTTATGGGAACTCAACTGAGAACTCACCTCAAACCCTAAGCAGTCTCTACACCCTCCTGATGTAATTCCCAGATTAAGGTAGGGACATTTTTTTCTCCCCTAGATGTTACACTGTGAATTTGGAAACGTATTAACAATGCAAGGGAAGAAAAAGTTTAGATCTGTGAATGAGAACCAAGACTTCTGACCTCCAGTATCTGTTCTTCTTCATCTTTAAGCCAACAAAAAACAATGAGGGATACTTTTTCATTTGCCCATCCACTTACAAGAAATTTTAGGAAAGATGAAGAAACCTACAAAACAAAAACTAATCACCAAAAGCAAACAGACCCGAGCACGCCTCGACAATGCTCCACCGGGTATTTCGAGTGCAATTACAAGGCAAGCCAATCCTTGGACTGGATACTCCAAAGTTAGGTGACATAACAAACAAGTTCTTCCCTTCCCTCTCCTGTGGTCACGTCAGATACCTGTTGCATCACCTGGAAAGTGGTCTTCAGGGTCTAGGAAAGGAGCACCACCATGATCTCCAAACAATTCAGTTGGGCTGTTTTCTTGATACATTTGAGCCTCACTGATTGTCCTGAGGTTGCCTTGGCGACAAGGGTGCGCTGGCTCCCGTGCACCTCTGTGGAGGGATTCTAGCACCGACATGGACAGCGGTGACTTTCTGGACTTTAAGAGGGGTGGAGAGTTTTGAAGACTTGGGCATGAAGAGAGATGTACGGTTCGGGAGGCGCGGGGGGGAGCCGGCCACCGCGCGGCGGGGAAGTGGGGCAGCCCCGGACTCCCTGTCGTGGGAGCGGGAGGTCAGACCTGCGACCGAAGCTTGGCGGAAAGGACACTGCTCGTCGGCCAAGGTGCCGGGCCCAGGGCCGGGGTCCGAGCCCAGCTGGGGTCACGGGAGACTCGGGCGGATCCGAGCCCTGGCCCAAGCCCAAGCCCTCGGGCACCGTGGGCAGCACGAACACGCTCAAGGACTAGAAAATCACAGTACTCCCCTCCCCCACCCCCGGAGAACTAGCTGGAGGCGGAGAAGCGAGGCAGGAAGCGATGGGGCCGGGGTCCGAGCCCAGCCGGCGAGAGGACGCCGGGCCGCGCCGCCAGGGGCCGCACTCACCATGTCGTACACGTTGAGCACCACTAACTGGTTAGCCCCCATCCTCCTCCCCGCGGCCGCCGCCTCGTCCTCCAGCCGCTCGGTCTCCGCGGGGCCGAGGCCGCTCCCGCCCCCGCGGACGCCTCACGGGGCCAGAGCCGGCTCTACGCGCACAGCCCGGCCCGCGGCAGCCGGCGCAGGAGCATCGGGAGGCCGGGCCGCTCCAGGGCGCCGCCGACAGGAGCCTCTGCGCCGCCGGGGCCGACTGCTGGCGGGCCCGCTCGGGCTCAGGAACCTCCCCTCGGCGGCAGACACGTGGGGAAAGGCGGGGCCTGAGCGAGGGGCGGGCGCCGGGAGTCCCGGGGGCGGAGCCAGCCCGGCGCCCCGCGGAGCCCGCCTGCGCTCTGGCTCTCCGCGGCCGCACCGCGGGACCTAAAATGGCGCCGCTCGCGTCACCCCACCTCGCAGGCGCGGGGTTCCAGGGGAACTGCAGTTCCCAGCGTGCAGTGGGGTCGGCCCGCGGGCCCCTGAAGCGCAGAGGCGGAGTCTCAGCAACCGAGGTCCTTCGTCGCGGCGGTGTTTCCAGCCCTTGACTACAACTCCCAGCATGCTGCGCGGCAAGGCTTGACGAGCGACTGTCAAGTGAAGAAATGGAGACTATGGCAGCTTGTGGCAATGATAGGGCAGAGCTGTGTGGTCCATGGAGGGCATTTTAAACATGGGAATATTACGGTATATTGTTTGTAAAGAGAGAAATTGGTGATGTAGGAGAGAGGGCGAGATTTCCAAGGGCAAGGTAAGGAGGGGAAGAGATCCATCCAGTGCACAAGTGCAGGGGTTGACCATTGGTAGTAGGAGAGATGCTTCATCCACAGTGACAGCATGTAAGGTAGATGCAGGTGCATAGTGACGGCATAGAAGATACAGGGACAAATGAAAGCAGGTTAGAAATTTGGGGGTGGGGAAATGAGGATTTATGATTTGCTTTGATTTTTCTTAATGAATAAGACACAAGATGATCATTGGAGAGTCAGGAGAGGTGGAATGGAAGGTATTTGAAGAGAGAAGAAGGTGTAAAATAGGGAGAATATGCTAGGAAAAGAGGGTTGAGCTGCCAGGCAGTGTTAAGAGACAGTAAGTGCGGTGTGCATGACTGTTAGTTTACTGTCCGCAGACAGGTTGTGGTCAAAGTTTTAAAATTTATTTTTGGTGTACCCAGCTGGCCTTCCTTTCCACTTAACCTCGTTGAACAAGCTACAGGTGTGAGGAAAGGCACCATCCATTGACACCATTTAGTTCTAGCTGCACTGCTAGGCCCAAACCACTGGTTCACTTCATCTCTTACTCCACACTCTCCCTTTGCCCTTTGTGAGCTCATCTACTCTCTCAGTGAAACTATCAGTGTATGCGGAAAAGTCTGATGCCCCCATCTCCAACCCCCTTCTTTCCTGTGCACTAGGCCACTATAATCTGCAGCCTATTGGATTTCTCTACCAGATGTATTAGTTTCCTACTGTTGCTGTAACAAATGACCACAAACTTAGTGGTTTAAAAACCACCCGCCACAAATTATCCTGCAATTCTGGAGGTCTGAAACTCAAAATGGGTCTCCTTGGGCTAAAATCAAGGACTGTGTTTCTTCTGGAGGCTCTAGGCTAGAATCTGCTCCCTTGTCTTTTCAGGTTCTAGAGGCTGCTCTCGTTCCTTGGCTCGTGGCCACATTGCCCAGACCTGTTTCCATCATAATATCTTCTCTGCTCTCTGTCTCCCTTTTATTTATAAGGACCCCTATGATTACATTGGGTCCACCTGGATAATCCAGGGTGATGTCATTTTAAAATCCTTAACTAATCACATCTGCACAGTCTTTTTTCCCCATGTAAGGTAAGATAAGGTAATACAGTATATTTACAGGTTCTGGGGCATTGGATGTGGACATCTCTGAGGAGCTGATGTTCTGCCCACCAGACAGGATGTCCTGTGGTCACTGCAAATTCATCAGGTACAAAACTAAATTCACTGTCTGACGATGCAATGAATTGTATTGCTTATATAATTTAGGTTATTGATCCAATAGCCGAAATTACTCATCATTCATTCATCGGACAAGTATTAAATGAGTACCTTTTATGTATCAGCCACTGTGTATTACTAGTACATCTCCTGCCCATATGAAGCCCAAAAACCAATGGGAGACAGGAAAAATGTGTATATTTATTCATTAAAATAAGGAGAGTTCTTTGTGGGTGGTTGCCAGGAGACAGAAAGCACACCAATAATGTCGACAATGAAAATGTCATATAAAATATTATAAATTGGGTATAAGAGGCCTAAAAAGACAAAAAGGGCATCAGAGAGGTAGTAAGCACCAGAAGCAGCTATCACCCCTAGGCCCCGGGGCAGGGGGAACAAAGAGGTTGGGATTTAAATATTTCTAAAGCTTGGAGGAGAACCCTATTGAGCTACAGTCCAAAACTCTGAAGAGAGACGTTTGGCAAGCTGGTGCTGCTGGTGTCTGAGAGGCACAATGACGCTGGTCCTGGGTAGTTTTTAAGACTTCAAGCTAGAAATCAAGCATCGCTTCTGATAAGTGCTGCCATTGCGGGGATGGAGGAGCATGACTAAGTTCATGCTGGTGGGAAAGGTGGGAAACAGGAAGCCATCACCCTCTCGCCTTTGTTTCCCAACAGCACCTAGCGTGAGAGACCCTGACCAGGGAGCCAGGTGCAGAGCAGAAGTGTGGTTTGCAGAGGCTGGGCCTCAGCAATTAGAAAGGCAGATTTGAAACTGAGAGAGAGTAGCCTTGATGCAACTTCCCACAAACAATTTCTCAGGCACCCTGGAGAGAGATGTAAGTTGTCCAAAGCATTCTAAAGGAAAAATATTTTAAAGCTTATTGCTGCCCAGCTGGTGTGGCTCAGTGGATTAAGCGTCATCCCATGGACTGAGAGGACCCGGTTTGATTCTGGGTTGGGGCATATACCCGGATTTCGGGCTCCTTTCCCGGTGGGGGGCATGCAGGAGGCAGCTGATTGATGTTTCTCTCTCTCACATCAATACTTCTATCTCTCTCTAAAAAATCAATAGAAACATTAAAAAAAATGTATTGCTACCTGAGCTGTGTTGGAGAGATGAACTGAGTCTGACTATGTCTTATTTATTGTTGTATACCAAATTACTTCAAAACACAGCAGTTCAAAACAAACATTTTACAGTTTCTAAAGTCAGGTATCTGAGAGCAGGTGATTCATGTTTGGGTGAATGTTTCTGGCTGAAGGTCTCTCATGGAGTTGGAGACATCTGAAGGCTTGACCAGGACTGGAGGATCTACTTCCAAGCTCACCCATGTTGATCACCACATGGGCCTCTCTGTAGGGTTGCTCATGACCTGGTGGCTACTTCTCCTAGAGACAGTGATCCAGAAGCGAGTAGGAGAGTGACAAAGAAGGAAACTTCAGTGTTTTATTACCTAATCTTGGAAGTAGTGTGGGAGGAGACTACCAGGGTGTGGATACCAGGAGGTGGATCACTGGGGGCTATCCTGAAGGATGGCTACCACATGGCTACATGAAACTGTCACCTCCATTGAGGTTGCTCTCAGAGTGAAGAATGGCTGTGTGTCCCAGAATCCCACGGGTCTTCTCTCTATTATATTATGAGAAATATTTGGGAGGTAATCCTCAGTTCCTTCCTGCACCCCTTGCCCCATCACCCTGCTAGATGAATTGTAATTGGTTGACTACACTGACTGCTTCAGTTGGATAAGTAGTCTGGTGTTAAAAGGTGGGCATGTGGATTCTACAGTAGATCTTGAAACAGTCCACTTCCCAAATCAAAATTGCCAGCTAGCGGAAGAAAAAACATAGCTGGGAAATTCAGAGCGATGGTGCTTTTTGTCTCAGATGTCTCTGGTCATGAAGTAACTTTTTAAGTCTTTGGTAATTGTACCAGGTTGTTGATATGGCAGTGGAATGTGGTTGATCTTTGGTCAATCTTTGATTGTAGTGGTTGCAGTAATTGCTCAGGTAGGCATTGCTACCCTATATCTGGAATGGTAACCATCTTAGGAGAGGCATATAATTTTCCCTGGTTAGGTGGTAGGAGTCCAACGTAGCTCACCTGTCAACCCTGTGCTTTCATGTCTGCAGGAGAATTATCACATATTGGTGCTAAGGTACAGATCATCTTTGTTGAAATTTGGGCAATCAGCTGCCCTATTGGCTTTTTTATTCTTAATTGGTACAGTGTGAGCTGGGGCCCAGGCATGATGACCAGACCAGACAGGAACTTTCTTTGCTGTTTTGTTATCTGTATGAGGATGTTTACTGAGGACTTCCTTAGGATGGGCAGGTAATTGCATGTGGTTGACCATGTGAATGTGAACTGTTTCTGATCTTTTCTGATGGGACAGTCTTGTTCATGATCATTGAACAAATGGTAGCAAATAAAACTCATCAATATATTAAAAAAATAATATATCTAATCCTGGTCAGTTTGGCTCAGCAGTTAGAGCGTTGGCCCAAGGACCAAAGAGTCACAGGTTCGATTCCGGTCAAGGGCACATACCTTGGTTGCAGTTCGGTCCCTGGTCCTGGTCCGGGTGCGAGAGGCAACCAGTCGATGTGTCTTTCTCACATCGATGTTTTTTTCTTGCTCTCTCTCTCTCCCCACCTACTTTCCACTCTGTCTGAAGATAAATGGAAAAAATTCTTCGAGTGAGAATTAAAAAAATATATATATAGACTAAGTTTTGAGGTAGTCCCTTTTTTTTTTTATCCTCACCCGAGGATATTTTTCCATTTTTTGTACAGATAGAGTGGGAGGGAGAGAGAGGAAGGGAGAGAGAGAGAGAAACATCGATGTGAAGGGACACATCGAGTGGCTGCCACCTGCACGACCAACCAGGGCCGGGAACAAACTGCAACCGAAGTACGTGCCCTTAGTGGGAACCGAACCCGGGTCTCTCCGGACTGCAGGCTGACGCTTTAACCGCTGAGCCAAACTGGCCAGGGCGAGGTAGTCCCTTTTTATTTATACCTGAGATAACTTAGCTCCAGAGAAACTAAGCAGCCTTGACTTTTTGCTCAGGGGCCATGCAAACAGGCCAAATTCCTTTGTGGCAACGACTTCCTGTGAAAAATATCTTCAGAGTCTACAATGACCCTCTTATATTGAGCAATGTTTGCTAATAAATTCTGTGTCAAGAAGGAAATACCAGTTGTTTATTTTTTATTTTGTTTTCCTTGCCTTTGGAATTCAAATGTATGAAAACATCTCTGAGATAAAGTTTAGTGCCTAAGTTTTCTTCTATGTATTTTATTGTTTCAGTCTTACATTCAGTCTTTAGTCCATTTTGAATTAATTTTTGTGTGTGGTGTAAGATAGTGGTCTGGGTTCATTCTTTTGCATATGGCTGTCCAGTTTTCCCAACACCATTTATTGAAGAAACTTTTTTCTCCCCTGTATTTCTTGGCTCTCGTGTTGTAAATTGGTTGTGCATATATGTATGGGTTTATTTTTGAGCTCTCAATCTATGCCATAGGTCTGTGTGTTTATTTTTCTGCCAATACCATATTATATTGATTGCTATAGCTTTGTTGTGTAGTTTGAAATCAGAGAGTGTGATACCAGTGGCTGTGTCTTTTTTCCTCAGAATTGCTTTGGCTATTCGAGTCTTTTGTACTATAAATTTTAGGATTTTTTGTTCTATTTCTGTGAAAAATACCATTGGAATTTTGACTGGAATTGTATTGAATCTATATCAATTTCTACCCAGCAAAGGAAACTATGGACAAAAAGTACAACCAACCGAATGGGAGAAAATATTTGCAAATGATATTTCCACTAGGGGTTAATATAAAAATATATAAAGGACGCATACAACTCAACAACAACAAAACCCAATTAAAGAGGGGGCAGAGGATCTAAGAGACTAGATCTTAGTTGTTCCCACCACAAAAGAATTATGTTATGTGATAGAGGTGTTAGTTAATGCCATGGTGGTAATCACATCGCAATATATAAATGTATCAAATCAACACGTGTACATCTTAAACTTATAGAGTGTTGTATGCCAGTTGTATTTCAGTTAAAAACATATATGTAAAGGCTTAGCAGTAACCAGCAAACTTCACTGCCTTTGTTAGCCCCATGTTTTCAAATGCCTGCACCTTTGCTTCTGCCATAACATTGCCCTCCACAAGTACATTTCCCCATGTCATTACGAGGGAAAACTTTGGCTACTAACTGCCACTTTGAGTCAGGAGCTATTGATGCCCCACATATCCTTCAGGTGCCCTCTTTGCCTGCTGGGTGCTGGGTGCGCCAGACCCGAATCCCCTCTGACTGCTTGTTTTCTCAGACCACTGCTATTACCACTTGGGTTAGTTCAGGTCCTCTGAGAAACAACTACCAACATAGGATTAAATGTGCAAGGATTTTGTTAGGGGAAGTTCTTCTATGAAAGGAAATAGGAAGTTAAGGAAGGTTGAGAGAGTCATCAGATGCAGAGAGAGATTGGGTGGAGGTGTCCTCAACTGCCATGTAATAAAAGAAAGGTTTGGCAAAGCCTTCAGGAGTCCTGGAGGCCAGCCACCAGGAATCCCATGTCTAGCTAGGATCCAGTCTGCCTAAATATTTCCATTGTACCAGGTCACAGGACACAGAGCAGCCTTGGGGGTGTGTGAGACCTTGGTGCAAATATGGCGGTGGGTTTAAGAGGGAAGCAGCTAATGCCCTGGTCAGTTACACAGAGCTTTGTTTTGATTATGTGATGGCATTGAACTGGAAATACTTCTCTGTAGCTTGCTCTTCTCATCTAATAAAACCTTGTGGGAAATCTTTTAAATTACTAGTACAGATTGATCTATGTGGTCAATGTACAATCATTTAGTCAACCATTTACTTATTGATAGGCATTGTTTTTCTAGAGTTTTGCCATGACAACCAATGATAACTACACATACACACTTCCTGTTGGCTCTGCTTCTCTGGTTAGACTCTGAGTGTTACAAATACTAATTGTTTAGAAAGCTGTTATAATATCTGGACAAATTAAGAAACCTATTTTGCCTGACCGGTGTGGCTCAGTGTTTGAGCGTCAACCCACGCACCAGAAGGCCATCGGTTTGATTCCCGGTCAGGGCACATGCCCAGTGGGGGGCATGCAGGAGGCAGCCAATCAATGTTCTCTCTCATCGATGTTTGTATCTCTCTCTCTCCTTTTCTCTCTCTCTAAAACCAATAAAAAAATTTTTTTAAAAGCCTATTTTGAGCATTAAATTTAAAACAATTAAAAATTAGAGCATCACCTTCTTATTTTTGGTATCATAAGTTGTACATTTCATGTGTGACTGCCATTAGAAAAACTTCTGAAATATATTTGACAGATTATTTAAATCCACACACATTTGTTATAGATAAATTAACTACAGTCATCTAAAATTGCATGCAAAAAATATTTGACACATTTATACATTTTCACAATTTACTGTAATTGTTAGGAAGGATGGCAATAACCAAATTTAGTTTTAAATATTTTTATTTAAAAAAAAGCCATATGAGTTTATAGACTGCCTTTTAAGATAAATGCAAATACATTAAGAATTAACTTTATAATATGAAATATATATGAAAATATTTGTTTTGGATAATTTAAGAACATTTTTTAGATCTTGAATTTAATGATACTATGAACTTTTATTCTAAGTATTTCTTGGTCAAACATGTTCTCAATATAAACAAATATATATATATTCCTACATATACATATCTGTAGTAAACAACCATTCATTTTTTCCTAATAATTCTTTTGTTTTCTTTCAGTTTTGTAAATTGGTTCATAAATATATTGTTTGTAAATCCTCATATAATGGAAGTAGCTAAAAATTAGAATACTGAAGAACAGTAGCATCAGGAGAAAGAGGAAAGAAAAAACCAGGTAGCCATTTGGACTGGAAAAAAAAAAAAAAGTCATTAGAAGGTATTGTTCACTTTGGTTGTTAATTTATTTGTCAAACAGTTTCTGAATAGCTAGCTACTATTCCACTGACAGAGAACAAAGATTAATAAGACATCCTGTCCACCCTCAAAATGTTTACCTTTTAGTGTTTGAGGCTGACCAGGCAGGAAAATAGACAGTGTGATCAATATCATGAGAAGTTGCTGCAAAAAGGCTATTTGTGTTTCCCAAAGTTACTTAGAAACAACACATGGCTTATCTCATTTGCAGATTATTCGCACCATTAACCTCCCATTAGCACAACACATTGAGGAGTCAGTAATATTTAAAGAGGGACATAAAAAATGGTTTGTCTTACGCATTTGTTTAACATTTTATAAAAAAACAAAAACAAAAACCAGGCCCAGGACAGAGAAGCAAAGTCATTTGCGGTTCCAACTTCACTATTAAGAGTTTTTATTCTGCTCTCCAAAGAAACTGTCCTGGAGTCCAGGGAAATGCTTTTCTAACCAGTTTCCTGGATGTCTTGGGACGATGGCCATTGTTCTATGGCTAACTCAGGGTCCGTGCAGGCACAGCCACTGTCCCCTCCCAGTCCCACTGCCAGTCTGCCCACTGCCCCTTCGGTGGAGTTGAAGGACGTTTGATGGAAAGACAGAAGGGGACCCAGCTGCAGTAACACTTCTCAGGAGTTCCCTCCTGCTGCATCCCTGGTATGATAGATACATACACTTTCTAGGACATCACATACAGAGCAGAGATTTTAGGGTCCTTTTTAGCAGCCACCTGTGTCTTTTGCAACTTCTCTCTTTAAAGCCTGATTAGGTACAATTATTACCTGGGAATCAATCCATAGATCTCTATTGCAAAGATAGCTGTTAGATTACAGAAACTGCAAATTAGAAAAATAATATTAAAGATTAAATTAAGTACAATATATTAAGGCTCCCTCCACATCTCTGTGATAATGATCAAATTATATATAATCTTAGTTAAGGTGTCATTTTCTTGACAAGGGAGAGAATAGATACATTTACATAACAGCGGTGATGACTCTTCCATGTGTGTGATGGGTTGCTTGCTACAAAATTACTAGAGCTGGTCACTGTAACCTCACTGTCCTCCTAACAGCTTTGTACCATTTTGATAGTGGTTCCCAAGACAACAGCAATAATATTATTAATAAAAATTAATAATAATAGTATTATTAACTACGACATTGTAGTACTTAGATGCTTGTACATATAGGTAGACTCACCATAAATATGGCAGTTGTAATACAGATGTTTTGAAAAAATAAGTATTGATAAAAATAATGATAAGTTAACATTTTTTGACCATTAATACTTAACTGCAAATAATACTAATTGAGTGTTTGCTATCTACCAGGTAGTGTACCTAATACTCTACTTATAGCAACTGTTCCTTTAGATAAGGAAAATGGAGACTCAGATAGGTTAAGCTTCTTACAAATGTTTACACAGTTGTAAGTAGCAGAGCTGGGATTTGAATTCAGGGTTTTCTGATCAAAGTGCATGTGATGTTCACCTGATGTAGGCTGACTCCAGGAAGCTGAGAATGTTAGGAAGTTGATATATGAAACTGTGTTATTATTTCTAAAGTTACTGAGTATCTCATAACTTAGTATATTATGTGGAATGAGGCAGGATATAGCTAAGTAAACATTAATGATATGATTTCACTTACCTTCATGTGGGAGGAAGAGGAAAGAAGAAACTTAATTTTATTGAGTGTTTGCCAAGCGCCCAGCAAAGATAGGGATTTTTACCCAGGTTCATTTAATCCTCAGAGTACTATAAGGTAGGTATTATTGACTCATTTTTCAGACAAAGAAATAAGCTCAAAGAGACAAAGCAATTTCCTTAAGACTGCATATCTGCTAGTGGCAAAATTAAGATTCAAAGCAAAGTAAATTTTCTAGCACAATGCCCTCAAGATCCATCCATGTTGTTGAAATGGAAAGATTTTCTTCTTTTTTATGGCTGAGTAATATTCCATTGTATATATGTACCACATCTTATTTATCCATTCATCCATCGACGGACACTTAGGTTGTTTTCATATCATGGCTATTGTAAATAATGCTGCAATAAACATGGAGGTACAGGTATCTTTTTGAAACAGAGTTTTGTGGAACTCTTCTGTTAATGGTGACTCCAGACTATGACATTTTTTATTCTTTTTCTTTTGAGTCAGAAAATTATTTTAATAGTTACAAAACATCTTTTTTTTTTTTTTTTTTAAACAAACAAACAAACAATCAGCATAAAATAGCAGTTGATTTTTCCATAATTATCAGAATTATTTACACTTGAGGTCTTGGCTAAGTGGGCCTGAAATCAACAAAAGGTCTTGGACTGCTGGCTCAGAAATCATCCTACGAAGCCTGCCTTGTTGATGTCTGTCATCCTTAGCCTTTATGAGATGACCTGGTCCTTTTAACGAAGTATTTTTTTATTCATTTTTTGGATGCTTGAAGTGAATTCAGCAGCGTGTATCAAACACCTTCCAGTTCCTGTCATTTACTACTTCTTCAACATTCAGTTTTGACTACATCTGTTTCAACTTTGTCTATTGTTTTCTAAGTTGCCTTAGTAACATTAAATCATCCAAATTCTTTTCTCTCTCTCCTTGGAGGTGTTTTAATACTGATGAAGTTAGAGCTGTACACTTTTTTATGACTCTGTCCCTACTGGCAAGAGCCTCATCAAACTCATAAAGTTGTTTACAGGTTTGGCTGGCATCAATTTTCCCTGCAAAGGAAGCTGTTGGAACACTAGTGTTTAACTCATGTATTATTCTGTCATCTGTCAGCCTCATCACCTTAAATAATTCCTGGAACTAGGTGAACTCCTCACAGTTTGTACAGCCACTGGGTGCGGTCATGTTGGACCGACATTTTTAATTCTTCCAGGAATTTCCTTCCCTCTTAACTTAGTGATGCTGACATATCTTAGTGTAACTCATTTATTGGACTTTGCAGAGTGAAATAGAAAGTTTATTCTATCTTATTATTCCTTTAAAAAATTCTCTGTGGAATTGTTCTTCCCTGCCCCTGGATAAAATACTGGACATAATATTTCCAGGTAATAAAGAGCCTTGACCAATGTACTTATAAAACTTTAGTCTCTCAAACATTAAAAAACTTCCTTGCCCACAGTTGGGCCTGAATCATGCTTAAGAGGTAGCATTGAGAAGAAGGGATGGTTATTCATTACCTTTTCTTCACTCAGCTTTGTCTTCTGCTTGCAAGCTGCTGTTTCAGAGCTTTCCAGAGCTGGGCACATGTAGAAGATCAAAATCTTATGTGGCTGAGACTTCATGTATTGGTTACCCAACATTAGCTTTTCCCCTTGAGGGGAGAGAGCTAGCATTCCCACATGCCGCATGCACAATGGGTTCGTCATACACTCCTATCTTTTTTTTTTTTTAATTAAAAAAATTTGTTGATTTTTTGAGAGGGTGGGAGGAGAGGGAGAGAAACATCAAATTTGTTGTTCCACTTGTTTATGCATTCATTGCTTGCTTCTTGGCACGTCAGGACGATGCTGTAATCAACTGGGCTATCCAGCCAGGGCCCATACACTCCCTTCTCATAAATGGGAATTTTCGCCTGATATTCTAGGACTTAGGTGATGCTTTCTCTGTCTGGCCATTTGTCAGCCACCCCTTAGCTCCTGGCTTCCCATGGTTTTCCCCATACATTTTTCTCTCTTTGGAATCACCTTACTCTTGAGGTGAACAGGGATGGTCTCTTTCATGATAACGCAAGTTCAGTTTCCCTTCATGGAGTCCATATGTGAACCCCAAATGCACACATTGCCTCCCACCATTGGTGAAAGCCCATTTCCATCCACTAGATCACTCTTGAGCCTTCCTCGTGCCAGTGTACCTGTAAGCAGCTTCTTACCTTCAAACATTTCAGATGAGCTTTAAGAATAGTCTTTGTTCCTCCATCTCCAAACCTAGAGACCCATGCTAGTTTCCTCTGAAGCTCTTTTGTTCTCTCTATGGAAATCAGTAAACTTATGTGTGCTCATAGAATCATTATAGAAGAGACCCCCATATATATTTTCAACTCTTTATTATCAGCTATTCCTCTCAACACAAGGCCCATATTAGAATTTTTAACTGTCTGTAGAACATCTTCACTCAGATATTACATTATTCCCTCAAATGCAAAGTCAGGACTCTGACCTCAATACTTCTCCCAGAGAAAAACCATCCCATTAGCTATTTTGGTCAAAGGAAAGAACATGAATTTTAATTACTTAGTCTAGAAAACTGGAAACCATACCAATTCCTTCTTTTCTTTCATTTGCCACATTAAGTCAATAGAATCTCTCATTTTGGACACATATTTATTAGACGTTTTCCTTTCTTTCCATTCTTACTGCCACCAGGCCGTCCTCTGACCTCTTGCCTTGTTCACTTCAGTCTTCTCATTTATCTGTGTATAGTTTCCTTTCCTCTTATACCATTCCTTATGCTCTTCTCAGGCTAATTTTCAGGAATGATACTTTCATCATAACACTCCCCTTGGAAAGATGCTGAGGAAGCTCTCTAGGACATGATTTGAAATTGACTTCAACATTATGCCTCAAATTAGTCTGCCTCCTTTGTTTTCTACCTTCCTCATTCAGTGTATTTTCCACCTTCCTCCATGACTCCACAAGCCGTAGACATTCATTATTACTGTGATTTCTTTCATTTGAAGGGTGTATTCTAGTCCTTGGGCAATGTAAATTCTACCAGTGTTCTTATTCTCCAGGAAGTTTTCTTCTGATGCTCAAAATAGCATTGATCTTTCCCATCTTTGAATTATTATTCTGCCCAACAATAATACAAATGATTGTATTTGAAAAATATCTCAACATATGCCCGGATTTAACTTCCCTTGGTTTTTGTTTAATTCCCCAACCTGTTTAATTATAAGCATCTTGAAGACTGAGATTATGCTTATGTTATATTTGCATCTGTCACAGCCAAGAAACATAGTAATTGTGAATTGATTAATTAATGTTTAACATGAAAGGTTATCTTTTACTCCCACAGAATGTTTAATGTGATTGCTACAAAAATGAAAAAGCAAATATGTAAATAATAACAAAAATTGAATATCAGGGTGATATCAAATTAACACAGACAACATCATGATTATCAGAGAGGAATGGGGCGAGGGAGGTAGAAGAAGGTATATGGGGAATAAATGGTGATGGAAGAAGACTTGACTTGCAGTGGTGAACACCCAATACAATATACAGATGATGTATTATAGAACTGTACACCTGAAGCCCATATACTTTTATTAACCAAAGTCACCCCAATAAATTAAATTAAAAATTCAATTAAAAAGTTGTAACTTTGAGGAACTAATGCTGAAATTATTATAGTAAAACATTTATATTCACCTGTAGTTTGGGTCCAGGATCTTCACTCGAAACACATACATTCCAGTATGACGCAAAGGCCAAATTAAATGGTTGTAGTTAGACTTGTTTATAATCTCATATGGTTGATTCAAGTCTCCTGGTTTTCCAATAGCATAAGAAAAACAGTGCTTATAGTTCTGAACAGAAAACAAAGACAAAAACCCACTTCATCAAGCCATCTAGTCTCAGAAAAGAAATCTTCCCTTGCTCCCGAACGGTATAGTTACTAACCATGGAATTTAAGCTGGATAAAGAGGGAAAAGGTAACCTGGGAGTGGGGGGAGGGTAGGATCAATAGATTGAAAGATGTATTGGGGTTGAAGGATTGTTCAAAGGGTTGTTAGAGTGAAGCTCCTAGGGTTACGTTGCTGTAAAGCTAGGGAGTGGTGGATAGAAAGTGGAATGTTTGGAGGGGAATACAGAGGACAATACACAAAATTTGTATATATCTCCATTTTGATATGCATAGATTCTGATGTAGAAGCAAAGTAACATTATTTTTTTTTTTTTAGAATAGTTTATTCTTTAGAAGGAAGAAGAGAGAAACATTGATGTAAGATTATAACATCCATCTGTTGCCTCCTGCACGCCTCCTACAGGGGATCAAGCCTGCAACCCAGGCAGGTGAGCCAGCAGGACGCCCAACTAACTGAGCCACACCGCCAGGGCCAAAGTAACATTCTTATTGTAAGGTGAACGTTACAGACTGAGGGACCTTATCTGTCACTTTTTATTCATGAGCTATGATTTGATTTTCCAAATAACAAACATTAATTTCAATTTAAGAAAGTTCAGTTGCAAAAAATTGAAAGCAGTGTAGAATTGATAATTGGCATTAAGAAATGATCTATTAGTTGTACAAAAATTGAATGAAAGACTCATTGTCAATGTTTTAACATGTTTGTCAGATATTTTAACAATCTGTAAAAACAGATTTTCAGCAGATAAAATTATACAAAATTGTTAGTAACAAAAACAATTTAAAAAATTGTTAGTAATAGCAGCAACAGAAGATCAAACAGAAATTAAGATGAGGCATATTTGAGATCACAGTATAATCCAACAGAATAATTAGATTTGATTTACAAAAACAAATTTATTTTTTAAAGTGTTTTCATTGCCCTGACCAGTTTGGCTCAGCAGTTGGAGCGTTGGCCTGCGGACCAGAAAGTCCTGGGTTCAGTTCCCGCTAAGGGCATGTACCAAAAAACAAACAAAAAACATGTTTCCATCAAGCTTTATTAATACTGAAATGCCAAATTACTTATAAATAAATGAGCAATTTGCAAGGTAATGTTTTTCTTACCTCAGGTCCCCAAACTGCTTCTAATGGGAGGTCCTTGTTAAGCTTGGTCATTGACTTCCACGTCTGGGCTTCATTTAAACAACCACTCTGTCAAAAGATACATAGTATATCAATTTATTCTTAAGTACTTCATGTATTTTAATGCCACTGAAAATTATATATTTAAAAAAATGTTTATTTAAATTTTTGTTGATTTACAGAGAAACAATTGACTTTTGTATATTGACCCTGTGTGGAGGTAACTTAAATTCTTTTTTCTTAATTTGAACTGAATAATATGACAGTTTAATTTATTATTTTCCAATCCCTATACTTTTTATTGTTATTGTTTGCTTTGTTACAAAGATCAGGAACAATGTTGTACCAAAGTAGTGGTAACCAGAACTCATTTCATTCCTGATTTCAGGTTTTCAAATTTTCACCCAAAGTATGATGTTTTTATAGTTTTTTTGGTCTCTGCATTTTATTAAATTAAGGAAGTTCCTATCTATTTATAATTTTCTAAGATTTATTTTAAAATACTGTTGTATATGGACGATTATTTTTTAATCAAATGATGTTTCATCAACTATTATAATACTTTTATATCTTATCTTCTTTATTCTGTTAATATAGTGGATTACTTTGATTTTTCAAATGATATCCCAATTCTTTGTGAAATAAACAAAACTGGTCTGGATATATTTTTTAATATATTGAGTTTTATTTGCTACTATATTGTTTCAGTGTTTTGAATCAATGGTCATGAGCGAGATTGTCTCATAATTCTGTTTTGTTTTAAGGTTCTTCTGGAGTCACAATAAGTTGAAACATGCTCCCTTTACCCTAATAATCTGGGAGAGTTTTTGTGAGGTGGAAGTAAAAATGTTTATAGACTTCATCAGCAAAGCCATATGGGATTAGAGATTTCTACTCTTTTCTGGGAATATAAGAAACTTTGTTAAATTACATTTTTTTGAAGCGTTTGTTCATTTTTTCCATTTGTCCATTGTCAAATTGGTTGAGATAAATTTATTTATAATAACCTCTATTATTTGGGTTGTAAAATAATTATATTCCAATTCTTTTTTTTTTTCATTTGTGAACTGGAATAATTTTATAAAGAGATACTTCCTCTTGTCTACTATTTTCTTACTGGTATAGTTTATTTGAGGAAGGTAGGATAAATATTTGTTTCTTTGTCTTTGCTTGTCAGTTTTCAAAATAAGGAGTTGATTTCTTATCATTTTCCAAAAGTAAACTTAAAAAAATTATTATGAACTCATAGATTTAACACATTTGATGGGTTTAACCCATTGCAATCACTCTCCTAATGTAGCTCAATTTGTCCCATCTTTGGCCTGTAGGAATTTTTTCATGTTGACTTCTGATTACTGTTGACATGACCCTAGCAGGCTTTGAAAACCTCCTTGCTATTGGGTATGTCAAACTACTGCAAGTTCATCTTGCACATTTCCTCCTTCAGGCTTGGAATCAGCCAGTCATCTAAGAACCTCCAGTTACTATTAGTAGGAAATGCTATTTCAACACAACAATGTGGGTACTAAGGATACTTATTACTACTGATTAGTTACGTTTCCAGGGAAAAGTTTATCTATTTTTCTCTCTATCTCTTTCTATAAACATTATATTTATATACTTATATCCAGATCAATATCTAACACCTCATGAGTTAATATTGAGTCCTATACAAATTCAGGAATTTTGTCTAACTTTTTCTTTCTTACTAAATGTATCTTAGTGAAGAATGATAGTGTTAGACTATCCCATCATTACACATTTGCTTTATCTCACATTATACAACTCACAGCTTCAGAATAACAATACAAATATTACCACCACCATCATGATTACTGAAAAGAGTTGTATTTTTCTTTTGCATATGCCATTCACATTCTTCTACCTCATTTATAATTGTACTATATCTACATTGTCAGAAAATGCATTCATTGTATGCTATACTCTTTTCCTTTTCATCCTCATTTTGTTTTAGTTTTAAGTAACTATACTATATTATAATGCTCCCTCTAATTCTTTTTTTTTATTAATTTATTTTTGTTACAGATGTTTCTTCTTTTTCTACCTCTAATTCTTATGTTATCTCTTTAGTAATTTTGGTTGTCTGAAGCTTATTATATTTAGTGAAGTACTCAGGAAAGTCTCATGGGAATAGTATTATCTGAGTTTTTACATGTTGATGGCAGTTTGTACCTTTTATAGTGTAATCAGTTTTGCTGGGTATAAAAATTCTTGTCTTACATTTAGTATCTTAAATATTTTACTCCATTTTCTCCTGACATAACGTATTGCTATAAAAATGTCTACTTATAATTTAATTTAATTTTCCTTATAAAACACTTACTTTTTGCCTAGATGCCCACTTGGATTGGCTGTTCTAAATTTATATTCTCAAGTATATAGTACGCTCTTTCTATATGAGGCTTCAAATCCTTTTTCTCAGGGGAGAGATCTTTGTTCATTATTAGTGTTAGTTTTGTTCCTTTCTTTTGGTTTTCTTTTGCCTATCTCTAATATTTGTAATTTTCAAATCTTTTTTATTCCATTCTTTATTTCTTTTATACTTAAATTTTTTCCTCTTTTAATTTCATGTATCTTGTAAAGTATTGTTTATTCACTTTCATTTTTTAACATCTATTTTAATTGCATATAGAATTTTAGGTTTAGAAATTATTTTCTTTCAGTAATTTAAAGATATTTTTGTTCAGAGTTCTCTGGTTTTTATTATTTCTATTGAGAAATCATATTATAACTCTTTTGAAGATATTATCTTTTTTGCTCTGGCTACTTTAAAGATTTTTCTCTTTGTTTTTGATTTTAGAAATTTTACAGTGGTGTTTCTGGATACAGATTACTTTTTCTGTGTCTTGATGCTTCTGGCTAAGACTCTCTTCTCCCTTTTTTAGGACTCCAGTTCTTAGATCCTAGCACCCAATCTCCTTTATGTTCTTTTCTGTATTTTATTTTATTTATTTATTTATTTTTTTATCCTCACCCGAGGACATCCTTCCATTTTTTGTACAGATAGAGTGGGAGGGAGAGAGAGGAAGGGAGAGAGAGAGAAACATCGACGTGAAGGGACACATCGAGTGGCTGCCACCCGCACGACCAACCAGGGCCGGGGACAAACTGCAACCGAAGTACGTGCCCTTAGCGGGAACTGAACCCGGGTCTCTCCGGACCGCAGGCCGACGCTTTAACCGCTGAGCCAAACTGGCCAGGGCTCTTTTCTGTATTTTAAATGATTTTATCTCTCAATGTGTACTTCTGTATATTTCATGGTGACCTCTCTTCCGGTTGACTAATCCTCCTTTTAGCCATCACTCCCAATAGTTGAATTCCTAATTCCAGTTATAGCAATTTTAATTTTTTTCTGGAAGTGATTAGCAGCTCAGGTATAAGCATGGATAAGGCAGAAAGATGGATGGTTTTAAAGTTGCCCATAATAGTGAACAGGAACAAAACTGGGGAAAGTGACATATTGGCAAAACTGTGGCTGAAGAACTGAACTATGGAGCTCAAGTTAGATTGGAAAAGAAGAAAAATGGGAGGGGTAGAGAGGGAGAAAGCAGAGGGCTGAATATAATGGATACCTAGGTTGTGCAAGAAAAAGTAAGAGGCAGAGAAGTAGTGGAAGTAACAATGAGAGAACTAAAGAATCGGGGGTTGAGATCAGAGATGAAAATGTTTGAATGTAAATATAATTTTATTTATTGATTGATTGATTGGTTTATATTCTCACCAGAGTACACCTTTGCATTTATCTTCAGATAGAGCAGGAGAGAAGGGGGGAAGAGAGAGAGAAACATTGATTTGAGAGAGACACATCGAATGGTTGCCACCCATATGACCCCAATCGGGGTGGGGACAAACTGCAACTGAGGTACGTGCCCTTAGCAGGAACGAACCTGGGACTCTCTGGTCTGCAGGCCGATGCTCTAACCACTGAGAAAAACTGGCCAGGGCTATTTTTGTTTTTTGCAATCCTCACCTGAGGATATTTTTTCTATTTTTGTTCAGATAAAGTGGAAGGAAGAGAGAGGGAGAGAGAGAGAAACATCGATGTGAGAGAGACACATTGACTGGTTGCCTCCCGCATGACCCCAACCAGGGCTGGGGACGAACCGCAACCGAGGTTCATTCCCTTGACCAGAATCGAACCCATGACTCATTGGTATGTGGGCTGATATTCTAACCACTGAGCAACTGGCCAGTGCAAATTTAAATGTAATTTTAATAGGGGGAGCTATATTAGCTGAGATTGTCTCTGCTCTGACGCAGTAACAAACCCCAACTCTCAGAGGTTTAACGCATTAAAAATTTAATTCTGGATCACACATAATTCAATGCAGATGCCCCTGGTTAGATGGTTCTTATGGATGACTGTCCTCAGAGAAGTGAATTAGGAACGCAGGCTTTTCCTGTCTAGCGGCTCCTTGAAGTCCCCTGCACGGGACCCTTTTTACCCAGCTCTCATCTACCCCGTCTTCCACTGTTGCTGTAATATATTGACATGTAAGGAAGACAGGAAGCACGGAGGTGCGTGCGGTCCCTCCTTAAGCACTTCCTCCTAAAAATGACATATTATAATTTCTGCTCACACTCCAGTGGTGAGAACCAGTTACATGGCCCCAGCTAGGTACAAACAGGGCTCAAAGTGTAGTCCCTGTTCAGAAAGCTTTTTTTCCCAGAAATAACCCTGCATGATGGCTGGCAGAGTTCAGGGGTCAACTGTCATTGTTCTCAGGGCAGGAGGAGCAATCGTTGAGTTCCGAGTATATATATGACAGTAACAAGTAGGGATGAGTTCGATGATAACTGGATGACAAATGATGTTTTACTTAGGGTCAAGAGATACTTTGAAAATAATACTGTGGATTAGGGAGAACATGAATTCCACAGCTCAGCCTTAAGTGAGAGAAAAATAGGATTGGTAGAAAAACAGGGAACATGATCATCTCTGAGAAATGCTTATTGAAGAAGGACTTAAGGTCATTTAGTCCTAAGCGACACTGGAAAAGTTTGGGATGGTGGAGAGTGATGGGAAACTGGGCCAAGGTGTGGAAGGATAGAATAGTTCAGGGATGAGATGGGGTTGGGAAAGTAGGGCAGAAGAACTCACATGTTGGGGGTTGATCAGGTATAGGAGGAATGCGTGTTGGGATGGATTTGCTTGGTAATGTAATGAAAGGACAAGTCATTCTTGCAATACTCTTGAGGGGATAGCAGGCAGGGCTCAGGTCTCGCAGCTGCCATCTGGGTGGGTTGTCCTTGGAGAATTAAGGTCTCTGATAGATGAGAAAGCACTTTGGAAGGAGAAAGTTACTTTGGCTTTGTTTGAGCACGAGATCTGGGGGGAATCTCAGGAACCAAAGCTGGCAACGTCGGGAGAGCTTCCATCACGGTGCCCCCTCCAGGGCAGGGAGCCTCACACGGAGGTGGCTGGGAGTGAAGTGTGGGAGTGGGAGTGGGGAGTCCTCTGTGCTGTGGCCTGCAAAGTGAAAGGCAGAATAAGGGGGTTCGCTGTGCAGGCCAAGCTCGGCCAGGCACAGAAGGCGGAGGGAAACTGGAAGAGCGTGGGGACGGTGAAGCCAAGGTCAGTGGGTCAAATGATGCAAAGAAGTCAAGTGAGGTGGAGCCTAGAGAATGTCTGTTTGATTTAGCACAAATATGACCAATGTCTGAAAGGCAACAGCAGACCCATAAATAATCTAACATTAAATACAGTGTGGAGAGAAAAGAAAGTATTTATCGATAACTGCATCATGCTACTATAAATAGTATTTTTTCTGACTGCTTTAATTCTGTTTTATATGACAATGACATCTTTTTCATAAATTAATTTTAGTAATCATGGGATGCAGAGGTAAAATGTTATTTTTCCCTACCCACAGTGGACTGGTTTTATTTTTCTTAGATAAGTTATATATAGATTTAAAATAGAAAGACAAGTCTAATTGCATGCTAAATTCTATTTAATTTTAGGGATGTCTTACCTTCTTCATAGTGTTATTAAAGCTATAGTCATTCCTGCCGTGTATTTCCCACACAATGAAATTTACTTCAACATCTTCAATAAAGCCACTGTCATCGTATCTGAAAGAAAAAACAAACACAAAAAATAACTGCATCATGCTCCTATAAATATGATTTTATTTTTTTCTGACCCCTTTAAGTCTGTTTTGTATTACAGTGACTCCTTTTTCATATATTAATTTCAGTGGTCATAGGATATAGAGGCAATATTTTTTTTCCCTACCCACAGCAGGCTGGTTTTATTTTCCAGTAGAATAGAGGGATCAAGAACTCCGGCTTTCAAATCAGATGGGTTTAGGTTTGTTTTTTTTTTAAGATTATTTTTTCTTTATTAATTTTAGAGAGAGAGGAAGGGAGAGGGAGAGGGAGAGATAGAAACATTGATGAGAGAACTTCGACTAGTCACCTCCTGCATGACCCCTACTGGGGATTTGGCCCACAACCTGGGCATGTGCCCTGACTGGGAATCGAACTGGCGACCTCTTGGTGCGTGGGTCGACACTCATCCACTGAGCCACACCAGCGGGGCAGATGGGCTTAGGTTTAAATTCTGTTTTTCTCACTTCACAGCTTTGTGACCCTGGGGATGTTACTTAAACTGTTTTTAAAAAATTTTAAATACATTGTGTGTGTTTTTTTTTAATCCTCACCTGAGGATATGTTTTTATTGATTTCAGAGAGAGAGAAAAAGGGAGAGAGAGAGAACCGTCGATGTGAAAAACATTAATCAGTTGCCTCCCGTGTGTGCCCAACCAGGGATCAAACCTGCAGCCTTTTGGTGTACAGGAAGATGCGCTAACAAACTGAACCACCGGCCGGGGTGTTTCTTTAACTCTGAAGCCTTGACGTTCCTGTCTGTGAAATCGTCACAGTACCCACTGTACAGCTTTCCTTCTGCTGTCAGAATAAATCTAACAGTAATGAAGCAGGATTTCTTCTTCTTTTTTTAATAGTTGGAGTCATAACTTCTCTTTGCTTGATAGGAACTACACACACACACACACACACACACACAATGTCTTTTGACCCCAGAAATCAATGATACTTTTATGCTTACATTAAGGAGAGGGGAAAAGCAAAAACTCTCAAAAACACAAAACTCTTACTTGATCACTTTTAATCAATACTGCAAGACAAGTAGGCCTCAATTTACTTACTTTTTAGGCATTTTCTTTTTTTAATTTTTTGTATTGGTTTCAAAGAAAGGAAGGGAGAGGGAGAGAGAAACATCGATTGGCTGCCTCCTGCACACTTCATACTGGGGGTCCAGCCTGAAACTGAGGCATGTGCCCTGACTGGGAATTGAGCCGGTGACCTTTTGGTGCATGAGATGATGCTCAACCACTGAGCTGGGCTGCATGAAGGATTTTACAAAGTGAGAGTGGGAACAAAATTCACTACATTTGTGGGCTTTCTAAAGACTAAGTTTGAGTGAGATATGTAGTACGTTTTGAAACATCCAACGATGTTTCTAACGTATCTCTCTTCAATTTAGCTCCTTACTTCCAACGGCCACTGCTTTAGGTCATCTTTCTATAACTTCTTGCCTGGCTTTCTGTAGCCTCTCAAAGCTTCGTTCCTGGAGGCTGAGAGAGAGTGTTCTAAGATATCTCCCGAGCATGTCACTCCTCTGCTTAAAAACTCTTGAAAGACCCCTCACAACTTTAGAACAAAGCTCAGACACCCCAGTTTGGCTCCAGGTCTTTTCATCACCCGGCTCTTGCCTACCTCTAGTGTCATCTCTCCCCAGACCCTATGCCCAACATCTCGGGAGCCATATGCAGATAAGGCGAGGGTAGCCGAGGCCTTGTCGCCGCAGCTGGTGGCAGGGAGAGACAAGTGAGCGATGGATGAAGGGAAGGCAAAGCGAGATCCCCTGGAAGATGAGGCAGGCTGCAGAGGGTCCGCAGCTCCCATGAGAATGGGGGCGTCTGAGAAGCAGAAGTCATCAGAAGCTCCTGGGGCCATGGTCACACAGCCCATGCCCAGGGGACAGGCGACACTCCTGCCAGCAGCCATCCCGCATGGACAGGCTGCCCACTCCCCTGACGCAGGCACCAGAGACACAAGCCCCACTGAGTGTATTAGAGCATTTACGCCAAACCCAGTGAGTTTTAAAAGAGATGTGTTATTTTAAATTGTTAAGGTTATTTTTTCCTGCTATAAAAAAGTGGGGGCTTGAGACCAAAGCTCTATTTCAGATACTGATAAAGACATCCGTTTGCTAACCAGTGCTTGTGACTGTTTTAAAAATGGTTACACGTCTTCCTTCTCTGTGAGTTACTGCCCATTATTCTAAATGGAATTGTCCCCTGCATTCTTTGGATGGAAATTTCACTTAGGACCTTGGTCTCAGGCAGGTTGCCTCAGTGTCTGGCGTATTTTCTGCGTCCCATCTCTGTGTCCGTTCGTAAAAAATAACATCCTTGATAGTGTCTCCTTGTTCACTGCCCGGATCTCTGCCCGACTGTGCAGTTACTCCGCCTGTCTTCCCAGGTCAGCTACAGATTGTTACCGTCCACCCCTAGATAGTAGCTGCTTTATAAAAAGTTATCCCATTCTCACAAATTGGCAGAACAATTCTAAGCGTCAGAAAGTGGTATCTGAGAAGCTGATTCCATTTCCATCTGAATTTTTTTAGAATCGTGAAGAGAGGACCTCAGGTGTGAGCAACCAGGGGTTGGAGTAGTGGCCCCTGGCTTCTTTCTTGGGGTGAGAGGAGACTCAGAGAACTAAACTCGAATGAGAGCTCAGGACCCTCCCCGTAGAAAATGCACTCTTGTGTGGGGACACAATTTTGTACACAATTTTGGAGATTTGGGTCAGGCTTTAGCAAAGCTCATTCTAGGAACTTCGGAAGGTGCAGCATGCTTGATTGCATCTTCTAGAAGCCATCAGATTTTCTAAATGCCTAAGACTAGCGGCAAAGCCGTATGTTTTATTTAAATAGAAAAGATCTTTCTTGAACTCTGAGCTGGCATCTTTTTGCTCACAAAAAGCAATAGGCTACAGTGTCATCTAGTGGTAATAAGAATGAATTGCATGACCCTTACTTAATGGGTTTAGAATTATCTTGGGTAATGTATTATTTATTTAATTGAGATTATGGGACAAAAATACTTGCCTAGGTAAGCATGGCTTATTTTCATGAATGTTCCTTAATGTAAAATATAACATTAAACCTGAGATAAGAAATGTCACTAGTTGGAACTAACTTCCCTATGTTTGGAAATTCACTACAGCAGCTCCACTTTGGGGAAGGAGAGACCTCTCTGCTGATCCCTCAGACACAAGATTTCACTCCTGTGTGACTACTCCAGACACCCCATTGCTGACCTTAGAGGGGCTGACCCTCCCAGGGTTGATTAATTTGCAGAGATAGTAAATAATTGGCCTTTGAGCATGCCTTTCATACGAATCAACCAATCCAGAGCTCTCACTCCCAACCACCTGCTTCATGGGCTCTCATACTCTGAGCCACTAGCCAATTGCCCTAATCACCCAGGGCCAAGTGTCAGACAACTAAGGACAGCACTTAGGCCCAGAGCCTGCTCACACTTGTCAAAAGAGACAGTCTGCTTTACCCTGCCTTATCCAGTCCTCCACAGAAAACTCAGTAATGGCTCTTACCCCCAGCCCACCCCCCTTTCCTCCTGATTGCTTTCTCCGTGTGGCCCTATATGACCTTCTGTGCCTTCTGTTTCTTGGGATCAGTATGTATAATAAATGTCTTCCTTCATGAGTCATTTCCATGTCTGTGTGTCTTACCATATCTGATTAAAACAAATCCTGAGTGCCCTTAAAATACCCCTAACACTTGTTCCTGAACTCCCTGCCTCACAGTAGAGCAATTATGTCCCAATGCCTCTTCCCCCCCCCCCCCCCCCCCCCCCGGGTTTGCTCCTGTGGCACCACGTTTGTTTGGGATGGATCACCATGGAAGCTGAGAAAGCACAGAGGCAGCTGGGATGGCCTGCACTGCCGGCTGGATCGCAGTCCCAGGACCGCTTCATTCCCACTAGTGGTTGATGGTGCATCTGTTGTCATCTTGTCTGTAAAATTCTGCCCAACCTTGGTCCTGAGCCGCTCTCTATCAGGGGAAGGCATGCATTGTAGTCTGGGGTCCCAGACCACAGACCAGTTTCCCAGGGACCACCCGTCTGCCTGTTTCTCAAAGCTTCATTAATAAGCACCCACATTTCCCACATTTGCACTGACAACTACCTAACTAATACTTAGTTATTGTATTGCTATAATTCAGCTGAACTGGACACTAGCCTGATCATCCTGACCCTCCCTCTGTAGTTAGCCTCTGACATTTGATGGATTACCCTAAAGAACTGGAGGCAGCAAGCTTATGTCAAGTGATTGTTGGGAGCAGAGATACAAACACATTCTCTTCAGAAAAAGGTGCTGCCACTGTGCTACAATTTGGATAATGCCACTAATCCTTTCATCTGCTTTGCCCAATTGGCTGTTAAACCATCCTATTAATTTTATTTTTAAATTTCAGATGCTGTATTTTTACATTTTAGCATTCCAGTTTGTTATTTTATTTTTTAATTTTTTAATAGCATTACAAAACACTGGCTTAGCCATTCTCTACACTTTCCCTGAGAATTTTAAAATATATTTATACTTGCTGTATTAGTAGTCCATTTTCACTAATGCCAGCCAGAGTCTGGGTCATCTGTAGTCTGCTACTGTCAGTGCCTTTTATTGTTTATGCGTCCTTTTCCTGCTTCTTTGGATGTCTAGCAATTTTTAATCTCGTAGCGAATATTTAAAATTATACATTGTTGAGACTCTAGATTTTGTTATTTTTCTCTAAAGAAGGATATTTTTCTCTCTTGTTCTAAAAGGAAGATAAATAACTAATGGATCTCCCTGATCCTGCTGAGGCTTAGTTTTGAGACTCATAGGGCTTTTAAAATGTTTAGTTTGCCCTTAAATCCTAGGGCATAGCATTGTGTCTTTAGCTTACTTATTAGAGGCCACCCTTGCAGGCTCAATGGAATACATCAGGTGTTCTCCAATACCCTCTAATTAAACTCCAAAATTTCCCTCTTAGCATCAGGTAGCTGTTGAAATCTCTGCTTCCTCTCTTTGTACAAGCGCAGTTTAAAAATTAGCCAAGAATTTGAGGAATGAGTTTTCGTATTTCTATTGCTCCTCCCTATGTGACTGTGTCCTTTTTAGGATGTTAAAAATCTAAATTTATAGCTGTTTTACAGTCCTAAACTGCAACGTCTGTCTCTAAATCCAGGAGGACTGTCACTTTCTGTTAAAGTCCTGTTCCCTCATACCCTGCCCCAAACTGGCAAGTGACCTCAGAGGACAGTCTTATTTAGAAATCTTCCCTTCTTTCAAGGATCATGTGGTTTTGCTCTCTATGCATCTAAACAATTATTTGTTACATTTTGTTAAGAGCATAGATAATTGTTATTGGGCAGAGCGTATATCAAATAAAAGTTACTTTGACATTTCTTGAAATTCAATTCTGGAAGATATTTTTATGACAATTCTTGGCCCGCACTGTTTCCTGTATAACTTTTAGGACCTGCTGGTCACATTCTGCTGAAAACCCTAGTGGAATTTACATTGAAATTGCATCGAATTTGTGGATAGATTAGAGGAGAAATGATACTAGAAGGATGGAGTCACTATCAGTTGAAATGGGAAGGCTATTGATGGAGTAGGTTTTGAGGGAGAGATCAGGAGTTCAGTTTTGGTCAGGGTAAGTTTGCTTTATCTACTCACTAAGTGGACAAATGATGTATCTGTTCAGCATCTTAGCGAATTGATGGGCCTAGAGTTTGGGAGTTTTGCAGACACCGTTAGAGTTTACCCAATATCCTTGTGCCTGTTTACATTTTCTAGCCCTCCTTGGAGTTAGGCTGGGGCCATGGCATTGGTGCAGATAACAGGGTGGAAGTGGTGTGAACCACATTTGGCCGACCGCTTAAGACAGCTCACAGAGGCCTCCGGTCTTCTTTTCCCCAGTTTTCTTTTTTCATGGTGGTAACATAAGAGGCCATGTCCAGATGTGTGGCTGTGATATATGTCAGACTGTGACATGAGAAGAATTAAACACTGAGATGCTAGGGTGTATTTGTTACCTCAGCATAGCTTGGCCATATTTGACTAATACAAGGGGAGATATTCAGATTGGAGATAGAGTTTTGGGGTTTATCAGTATATTGAGACATTCACGTCCATGAGACCGGATGATACCACTAAAAGAGCAAATTGAGATAGAGAAAAGAAAAGAAAGCCCTGAGCCTTGGGCATTCCAACATTAAGACGTCATGAGAAAAAGAAAAAGAAAGAAACTAAGGAGGAGTAGCTACCAGTGAGGTAGCAGGAAAAGCAGAAGAATGCAATATCCTGGGAGCCAGATGAAAAAAATATTTCAAGCTCTTGTTACTGAGATCAAGCAAGGTTAGACCAGAGAATGGAGCCTTGGGTTTGGCAGTTTGGAGGCCATTGGTCACACTGGCTAGCCGTGCCAATGGAGCGGTGAGGGTAACGTCTGACTGAGAGGGATTTGGGAGAGAATAGGAGAAGAATTGTGCCAGTTATTATGGTAACTAAAGGGGTAGTGGGGTCAGGAGCAGGTTTTTGTAGTTGATGAGGGAAAGAACTACATGCTTGTATGATGAACCAGCAGAGAGGGTAAAGTTGATGCAAGAGAAAGAGGGGACAATTTCTAGAACAATGTTCTTTATTAGGAAAGGGGTGGGAATACAGTTCACAAGTGGAGGGACAGACCTGAGATACATATAGTTCATCTGTGGTGATGGGAAGACAGAGTTCATGGGTACAGAAGCTTGAAGATGGATAGATAAGGTGGCGGAAGTTTGTGGAAGATCTCTTCCAATTGATGCCACCTTTGACTCATTCTCTCTTTCCCTTACCACTCACATCTATCAGTTATCAAGCCCTACCTATTATAGTCACTAATTTTTCTCATAAATGATTCTTCTTCTTTGTACTTGTTGCTATTTCAGTAATTCGGTTATTTCCTCCCTGGACTTCCAACACAGTTTTACTACCTGGACTCCTTACTTGGACTTGTTTCCCTGAAATTCATCTGCTACACTTCTCCCACTAGCTAGAGCAAGTATTTTATTTTAATTTTTGGGGGGGGAGAGGAAGGGAGAGAGAGAGAGAAACATCAGTGTGAGAGAGATACATCAATGGGCTGCCTCCTGCACGGCCCCCCACTGGGGACCGAGCCCACAACCCAGGCCTGTGCCCTGACCAGGAATGGAACCGGAACCTCTCAGTCCATGGGATGATGCTCGATCCCCTGAGCCGCACTGGCTGGGCAACTAGAGCAAGTATTTGATCATGCTGCTCTGCACAAGGATGGATAGAAAGACTTCCATGACCTGGAATCCATCCAGCTCATCTTCTGACACCTCATTTCTCACTGTATGCCCATCAACATTACACTGTTGAAACGACACATTTCCTCCCTCAAACTATCACTGTTGCCGAAAAGGCTTACCCACTGGAATTCATGACCTTCCCCACTTCTCTCCTTCCCCCTCTCCCTCCAGCTAAATGTTCGTTATCCTTCAAGATTCAGTGACTCAGCTCAAACACTTGTCTGCTGGCAGCATTTCCCAGAGCCCCTCTTCCTTCCATAGCTACGCTGAATACTTTCCTTTTGAGTTTTAATGCCAACCACCCACACCTTTTCTTTCTATCATTCCACTTAGCTTACCAGCTCCTGTGTTTATCTAATTTATCACACTCTTGAGCCCTTGAGCACAGAAATTCTGTCTTATTCATCTTTGAATTCCCAGTGCCTAGCCCAGTCAGTAATGCCGAGTAGCTGTTTCAAAAGGATGAATTGAACCGAGTGCACTTCCCTGGGAGAGAACATTAAGATAGTTACCCCCGGGCGCTGAGGCCCCTATAGAGTGAAGGAAGAATACTGGGCGCAGTGAGAGGAGGAGCGCCCAGGGAGGCCAGGAAAAGGTGTGGCATGTTTGGATGCACAGATCAAAACAGCAAGACAGCGACTAGCTGGAAGGCCCAGAGAACCGTGCAGAGGATTGTGGGAGGTGATGTAGGAGGACCGGAGAAGAGCCCGCAGTCGTAGAACTGCGTGGGGTCTCACAACGGCCGCGTGAGCAGTGCGGGGAGCTGGCCGAGGCCTTCTGGGTCCTCACAGAGAACCCTGATGGCAACACGAAACCGGAGCCCCTGGTTCACTACTGCACACCCGCCCGCCCTGAGATCCCAGGACTTGTTTTCAGCCTCAGAGGGCCCAGAAAGCTGAACCTCGTGACTAAAATTTTGATGTTTTACTCCCAGAAATTTCACTTCCAGTAATTTATCCTAATGGCATATCTGGACTAGTGTCCAAACATGTGCATAAATGGATAGTCACTACAATTTTATTTATAACAGCAAAAAAAAAAAAAAAAAAATTAGAAACACAGCTTATTTATCTGTTATTTTTTATATTTTAAATTTTATAGCAAGATAAGTAACTTCTATAATCATAAATCAAGAAAAAGTCAGAGCCCTGGCCGGTTTGGCTCAGCGGTTGGAGCGTCGGCCTGCGGTCCAGAGAGACCCGGGTTCAGTTCCCGCTAAGGGCACGTACCTCGGATGCAGTTTGTCCCTGGCCCTGGTTGGGTCGTGCGGGTGGCAGCCACTCGATGTGTCCCTTTCACATCGATGTTTCTCTCTTTCTCTTTCTCCCTCCCACTCTATCTGAACAAAAAATGGAAAAAATGTCCTCGGGTGAAGAAGAAAAAATAAATAAAGTTAGAGAAGCAAGCAAATGAATACAAAATTACTTGGAAAAATGTTCCTCATAGCATTTCTTTAAAAATTTTTTTTCTTTATTGATTTTAGAGAGAGAGGAATGGAGAGGGAGAGAGAGATAGAAACATCGGTGAGAAAGAACATTGGCCACCTCCTGCATGTCCCCCTCTGGGCATCAGACCCACAACCTGGGCATGTGCCCTGACCAGGAATTGAACCAGCAACCTCCTGGTGCATGGGTCGACGCTCAGCCACTGAGCTACACCAGCCAGGTCCTCATAGCATTTTTATTCATATTTTCATCATGAAATATTGTTTATAAGAATTAAGTTAGAGATAATATTTTTGAAATTTCCTCAATTCCTTATTAGTAATATAGTTTCTTTCCTTATAAGCTTTTAGTTATTATTGGCCCATGGAAAGAAGTCACATGTCACCTGGGAAAGGTAGGTTCACCTTTAGGGTTGCTGGTAGGAACTTGGGGAGAGATTTAAGAGGGTAGAGCAAGGGTTTAGAGACTGCCTGCACCCCTGAGAAGAGTCCCCACTCATATCCCAGCTGCTAAGTTGTAACCTCCCCTCAGCATGCCAAGACCATGCGTTGTCCAACTTTCGTTAACTAGTACTGAAAACCTAGTGTTGGGTGCTCAAAAATATTTATTACTAAATGCATGATTAATTAACCTTATTTTCATCTTTTGTTTTGAAACTTTCAAAGTAAGTTCAAATTTTAGTGAGAATATACTTACAATTGAATCAAAGGCTGAAACTTTTCTCTGAAATCAAGTCTCAATGGGCAGCCATATTTTTTCCAACTATATTTTACTCTCTAGAAAAGGAAAAATGCTTTGGTTATTTTCTGTATTAGGCCACATAATAAAATTATAGTTTTCTTACCAAGTTTTCAGATGGTTGATTCCTCAGAAATGACCTAAAAAAGACAGTTTTCATTACTTATCTTTCCTCTCTTCAAACTTAGACATTAAAACTATTACTTTGGATAGGGAGATATCACAGAAGTCAAATAGATAACCATAATTACAAAATACTCCCAAAATATGTGGAGATTAAACAACATCCTTTTAAGTAACACATGAGTAAAAGAAGAAATCTTAAGAGAAATTTAAAAATATTTCAAACTAAATGAAAATGAAAATGCAACTTTTCAAAATTTGTGAGATGCAGTGAAAGCATTGCCTAGAGGTAAATTTATAGCAATAAATGCATATATTATAAAGATTGATGCTAATAGGAATAAATAGTAAGAGACTCTAAATTATTGACACTACATTAATAAAAACTCAGTGCTTATGTTAAAATATTTCTTACTTTTCGATAATGTAAAAGAAGTCATGTGGAAGACATTCTTTATTATTAAATCTAAAAAAATAAAACAATGAAGTTGTAATATCATAATTTCTTATATACTTGCACAAACATTTAATCATTTAATTCAGTTATTTTCAAACTTGAGAGTATCACAGAATTATCACTTATTGGATTATAATCTCTGTGTTGGTATGTTGCCCTAGCATTTCTATTTTTTTTTAACTTTTTTTTCTTTATTGACTTTATTTTTTTAATTTATTTTATTTTATTTTTTATCCTCACCAGAGGACATTTTTCCATTTTTTGTTCAGGTAGAGTGGGAGGGAGAGAGAGGAACAGAGAGAGAGAGAGAAACATCGATGTGAAAGGAACACATCGAGTGGCTGCCACCCGCACGACCAACCAGGGCCGGGGACAAACTGCAGCCGAAGTCCGCGCCCTTAGCGGGAACCGAACCCGGGTCTCTCAGGACCACAGGCCGACGCTCTAACCGCTGAGCCAAACCGGCCAGGGCTCTTTATTGACTTTAGAGAAAGAGGAAGGGAGAGGGAGAGAGAGAGATAGAAACATCGATGAGAGAGAACATCGATTGGCCGCCTCCTGCATGCTTCCCACTGGGGATTTGGCCCACAACCTGGGCATGTGTCCTGACAGGGAATCGAACTGGTGACCTTTTGGTGCATGGGTCGATGCTCAACCACTGAGCCACACCAGCCAGGCTAGCATTTCTATTTTGTTTTATCCTCACCCAGGAACATTTTTGCATTTATCTGCAGATAGAGCAGGAGGGAGAGAGAGGGAAAGAGAGAGAGAGAAACATCAATGTGAGAGAGACACATCGACTGGTTGTCACCCACACGACCCCAACCAGAGCAGGACAAACTGCAACCAAAGTATGTGCCCATAGTGGGAACTGAACCCGGGACTCTCTGGTCCGCAGGCCTATGCTCTAACCGCTGAGCAAAAGTGGCCATTTCTATTTTTAAAAGTCAGTTTCATAAATGTTTCTGAAGATACCAGAATTTGAAATCTTCTGATTTACTTCTTATATTTGATACATGTGAAAAATTGATAGAAAAATCTATCAAAATGAGGACCAATTTCTGTGGATGGTTTTATTCTACATATATTTATTATTTTTATTATTAAAAAACAAACAAACATATATATGCCCAGCTGGTGTGGCTCAGTGGATTGAGTGTCCTCCCATTGACTGGGAAGTCCTGGTTCAATTACAGGTCAGGGCACATGCCTGGGTTGCTGGCTCGATCCCCAGTAGGGTGCATGTAGGAGGCAGCCAATTGATGTTTCTCTTTCACATCAATGTTTCTTTATCTCTCTCCCTTCCTCTCACTCTAAAAAAATAAATAAAATCAATAAAAAACATTAAAAAATGTGTATATATTTTAAATTTTTTTTTTTATTGATTTTTAGAGAGAGAGGGCAAGAGGGATAGAAACATCAGTGAGAGAGAACATCAGTTTGGCTGCCTCCTGCAGGCCCCCCATTGGGGATTGGGCCCACAACCTGGGCATGTGCCCCGGACCAGGAATCAAACTGGCAACCTCTTGCCCTGGCCGGTTTGGCTTAGCAGTTAGAGCATTGGCCTACGGACCAGAGAGTCCTGGGTTCAGTTCCACTAAGGGCACGCACCTCGGTTGCAGTTTGTCCCTGGCCCTGGCCGGGATTGTGTGGGTGGCAACCACTCAATGTGTCTCACATCGATGTCCCCCCACTTCCTGCTCTATCTGAAGATAAATGCAAAAATGTCCTCAGGTGAGGATTTATTTTTTTAAAATTTTTAATTTTTTATCCTCACCCGAGGACATTTTTCCATTTTTTTTGTTTAGATAGAGTGGGAGGGAGAGAGAGGAAGATAGAGAGAAAGAGAAACATTGATGTGAAAGGGACACATCGAGTGGCTGCCTCCTGCATAACCCAACCTGGGCCAGGACAAACTGCAACTGAGGTACGTGCCCTTAGCGGGAACCGAACCCGGGTCTCTCTGGACTGCAGGCCAACGCTCTAACTGCTGAGCCAAACCAGCCAGGGCCTCAGGAGAGGATTAAAAAAAAAAACCAAAAAACTGGCAACCTCTTGGTGCATAGGTTGATGCTCAACCACTGAGCCACACTGGCCAGGCTCCTCATATTATTTTTTAAAACACAGATTTCTAATTTATACCATAGACTCAGTTGTGCAGGTAAGGAGCTACTTTAAGGATTCACATAATTTCTAGTTAAGGTGCATGCCGACATAAGGCTATTATGGTGTATGAAATGGTAGCATTTTTAGTAAGTTAAATGATCTATTTGACCACTTTTGTTGGCTACTTCCAGTGTAGTTCATAAGGAACCTTATCACTACTGTGTTTAGATAGATATTGGAAGTCTAGACCATCTCCCACCACAAACCCAGATTAGACCCCAAGAGATGCCCTCCTTCATTGGCAAGTCTCCTGTCAGAAGTACCTTGGGCCCCACAGGTCTGCTTTGGTAATAATGAAACCTTAAGCCTACCACAACCACAATCTGAATCCAAGATATCAGGGTTGTTTTTTAGGGTTCCAGAGCAATGGGTCATTGACTAAGAGGTCTGGACCCTAGTCTTGAAACTGTGTTTTGTAAACATGCTCTCCAAGTGATTCTGATGAGTAACCAAGCTTGATGATCGTTATCTAGACCCTCCCAGAAACAGATCGATTCAAGCTGCTTTGTATCTCACTGCAGCAGGAACTCTGCATTCAGTGGTACTGGGAACTGATTTTGGTAACATGTTGCTTAGAGCAGCTGTTCTCAAATTTTAATGCCCCTACTAAACTATTAGAAATGTTCTTAAAAATAGAGATTCTGACTCAGCAGCAGTGGGATGAGGCCTGACATTCTGCATTTCTAATAAGTTCCCAAGTGATACCTGGCCCATAGACCATACTCTAACGAGCAAGGATGTAGACCATCCCAGAAATAAGATGCTGTAGGCTGTATCAACCAATTAGCCTGTGTGTTTCCTGGAAAGGGAATTTCTGAAAATGCAAAGTCCTGGCTGAATGAGATGGGAATACTTAAGTATCAATCCAGCAACTGATTATTACAATTCAGTCCTCAAAAGATTATTAGAATAACAGATGAGCAGACCTTTGTTTTGCACGAGAGCAAATAATTTCATAAACAGACTCAGATAAGAGTCAATGTCCCCCCACTCCCACCCCCACTTCTAACCACAGGAAAGGAATCACAGTATATTGCTTTCTCCGTTATACATTCAACCTCAGTATGTTGACCTTGATTTTCCCATGTAGAAGAAAGAGCTGTGGCAAATGATGACACCCAGTGTGCGTCACTGTGAACCGCAGGTCACTGAAAGTCACAGCTCTGGAGGGAACACTGACTTCTGTTGCTCTAAAAAAATTTTCCATCAAAAGTGATGTGGATGTAAGCAGTCCTCCGATGGAAATGAAAGTATTACTGGGTTAAGTAGGATGGAAAACAGGCAGTATTTCTCCCTCTCATTTCTCTGGGAATGAGCTGTAGGCTGAAGAGCGGAGAGAGATAAAGGCGAAAGATGGAAACTGGCTTATTAAAGGGTGAAGGTGGAGAAAATGCTGGCGATAGAGAAACATGTTCATTATTTTCCCCTTTTAGTAATGATCAAATGTAATATTGGACTTGGCAAAAAGTTTAAACAAATTTGATTTGGACAAATTGAATTTGTCAATTCAATTTTTGATTTCATTATGGACATGTCAGCCATTAGGCTAAAATTATCACTAATAATTACCATTTAGTTTACCATTTGTTTTAAAACATAAAGAGTAAGACAGGTCAAATGCAAATATACTTGCCCTTTAACCACGATATATTTACTGTTATCACAGCCTACAGCTATTTGGAACACCTAGAATGAAGAAATTTAGGTGGAGACTTCAGTGGTTCTGATTCACATGTTTATAAAATATTTCTATAGCTAAAAGCAATTACATTTTAGGTTAGACATCACCTTTGAAATATGCTGTTTTTCTACTTCTTTGATCACTTTTTTTCCCTCTTTCTTTGCTTCATTTCTTCCTTACTGTTCATGAGGCCCAAAGGTAGGTTCTCTGCTTTCTTTCTTTTTTTAATTTTAATTTTAATTTTTTTATTTTGGGTACGTGCCCTTAGTGTGAACCGAACCCGGGACTCTCTGGTCTGCAAGCTGATGCTCCAATTGCTGAGCCAAACTGGCCAGGGCTTTCTTTTTAAAGTTTTTTTTTTTCCTTATTGATTTAGAGAGAGAGGAAGGGAGAGAGGAAGAGGAGGAGGAGGAGGAGGAGAGAGAGAGAGAAACATGGATGAGAGAGAACATCGATTGGCTGCGAGAGAACATCGATTGGCCGCCTCCTGCATGCCCTCCCACTGGGCATTTGGCCTACAACCTGGGCATGTGCCCTGACCAGGAATCGAACTGGCGACCTCTTGGTGCATGGGTTGATGCTCAACCACTGAGCCACACCGGCCGGGTGGTTCTCTGCTTTCTTACATCAGTATCTCAGAGAACGGACCCAGTCTCATTTTTCAGCAGTACCTCTACAACCGTGACCATCAGCTCTGTACTTCCAGCTTGTGCCTGACTCAGCTGTCAGGTTTCTCTAATATATCTAGTATTAACTCGACTTCTTTTTAACCAGAGTCCTGGTTCTTCCTTGACTGTGATGACTGCTTCTGTGTGTTTCTACCTGGCTCCGGGATACCTTACTCACTGCTGTCTATCCTGTCCCCACCTCCACCCCCTAGGCTTTCTGAGCTGATCTAGACACTTGCATTCTGTCTTAAACATGTACTGGATGTTGCCTATTCCATAAGGCAAACATGGAAAATGCCTAATACTTCCTACCGTGGGTGATTAGGAGGGTGGGGTAGAGAATGATGCCCAGCCAAGCTTGATGGATTCAAATAGTTGACCTGGTAAACCAAGACCATTGGGCTTCGTTTGAAATGCAGGTATGATAACAGAAGCTCATAGATTTTATTTTCTGACCTCACCTACAGGACCTGATATGTTCTCTCAACAGCTCTACCCACAGTGCTTGCTCTCCATCACCATTACATCTTTATTTTCCTATCACATACATTCAGAAACATGGGCCTGCCCTTTTTCATTGCTGAATTATCCACAGAACATACATCATGGCTGAAGTCCTCCAGTCTTTCTTAGTCAGGACCTATCATCACTTGATGCTCTTATTCGTAACATTCTTTTTCTTTTGGGGCGTAGTTTATACAAATTACCCGTAGCTTCAGAATCAACCACCACGAGTAGGATTAAAAATATGAGTTGACCTTCAGGTGGGTCTTGAGCAGAAACATGGGTACAGAGTGTGGAAAGCAAGAGTAAGCCTGCTTTCTTGGGTATGTCCTGCTGTAGGGTTGACACGTTCCCCAGGACTGCATACCCAGTTAGAGAAATTCTGACAACTCAAGTGAAAAGAGAGTGCATTGGTTTTATTTAATATTACCCTCTTAAGTGCAGACAGAGGGCAGGACTGCTCCTTCTTTAGCTCAGAATTAGACAGCATATTCCCTCTAACTGGACAGAGCAACTGAACCGAGACAGGAATTCGGAAGTCCCTCAAGACAGAAATGTTGGTAGATAATGCGTTAGACAGAGTGTAGTCTTCTGTCTCTGGGAAAATTCATCTTGGAAGGATTTGCTGAGGCCCTCTGGGGCCTGGTTTACTCGGTGACCTCCTTGCATCCCGGACCTTGGTGGGTGGACGGAGCCCTGTGGAAGCTGCCAGTTCTATTTGCGGGCCTGTTGCCGGATATGAACACTAAGTGACGGAGGCAGCAGGTGCCTGTTCAGACGCTCAGTCCGTGGTCCCTTTGGTCCAGCAGATTTAGCCAGGGCCTAACTTCATCCAACGAGGTAAGTCGTGAGCCGAGGGTCTGTGTACCTGCAGGGCTGGGCCCTGCATCTCTATAAGATTCGTCTGCGAGGCTGGTGACCTGTCCACTGGTTGGTAAAGGAGCATAAAGGGTCCTGGGGTTGAGAGCATCCCTTGTAGTTGTACAGGTTTTGATTTTCTTGGCTATTTGGAGGACCTACCTCTACAAGGCCACATTTTCATGTTGCTTAAAGGGGTATTGCATAATTCTTCATTGTATTTCAGTGGGCAGGTCAATACAATTTACCTGGGGCACAGAGGGTAGCTGGATTTGAACTGTCCATGTCTCAGGGTGTGCCAAGGAGGAAAGGAACCAGTAATATTAGATAATTATTCTGTAACAGGCACTATTCTGGGCACTTCACATGAATCATCTTATTTAATACTCTCCACAGAGTAGATATATACTGTGAGATAGATGTTACATTTCCCCCTTTACAAACGAGGCAGCTGAGCCCAAGCCAGTAGAGGGCAGAACTTAGATCTGAACTCAGGGCAGATTAACCTGCTTTATAATGCTTGGGCCAGGCAGGATAGGGTGAATAGGGATCTCTGAGAAATCTACTGATTAAACAAGGAGAGGGATGGAGGAAACCAAGGTGCTTCAAGGATGTGTCTTGAATGGAATAGGGTGGGGCTGTCAAGCAGCTGAAGATGGAGAACACAGACCTAGGCTGGGGCCGAGCTGGAAAGGTTGCTGTTTCTTGCTGCTTCTACAGATTGAGCTGGATAGTAGCGTGGTAGGCAGAGGGGAATGGTTGGCCTGTACCTACAGGCAGTTTCCGGCAGAAGCAGTGTGTCAGCAGTGCTCAAGGATGGGCCGTGTGCCTCCGTTCAGGGCGCCTCTGAGGTCATGGACCCTTCCCGGTAGGAACTGTTTTCTTGTACTGGGGGCTTGAAGAGAAGGGACTATTCTCATTTAACTTTGAATTCTTCATGTAGATATTCCTTATTGTGTTATGCGTAATATATAGTAGGTGCTCAATATATACTTATTATTAGTTAGGCTGAGAAGGAATAAAGAGAGGAGGCATCCCTGAGTGTGGGGCGGACTCAAAGGAGGGGGCATCCCTGATGTGGGGCGGACTCAAAGGAGGGGGCATCCCTGAGTGTGGGGCGGACTCAAAGGAGGGGGCATCCCTGAGTGTGGGGCGGACTCAAAGGAGGGGGCATCCCTCCGTGTGGGACAGACTCAAAGGAGGGGGCATCCCTGATGTGGGGCGGACTCAAAGGAGGGGGCATCCCTGAGTGTGGGGTGGACTCAAAGGAGGGGGCATCCCTGAGTGTGGGGCGGACTCAGAGGAGGGGGCATCCCTGAGTGTGGGGCGGACTCAAAGGAGGGGGCATCCCTGATGTGGGGCGGACTCAGAGGAGGAGGTGGTGAAGAAGATGTGTTTGATTTCACATCACCGGCGGTTGGTTACCTGAGCACCATGGCTGTTCGCGTCGCTGTGCTTTGATTCAGTACATGCCTCTCCGGAAGTCACTGGCATCTGCCTGCTCAACTCCTCTTTATTCTAACAGTCACTTTATGCATCATCTTCTTTGCACCTTTCTCCTCTCAACGAAGATCTCTCACTCTTTCATGGGGCTAGTTGATGACCGTGTCCCACATTCTCCTACACTAGCCTCTGCTTACCCCGGGAGGGCACTACTGTCTCTCCCGTCTGTACCTGCCGTTGCCCAGCGCAGACTGGGACCTGGAAACTAAGGCGCACGCAGTGACTCTTGTTTGGAATAAAGAAATGGTTAAATTTTAAATGAACAATTGCAGGGTAAACACAATGGTAGTCTTCTCTGACAAACTATATCCAACTTTAAATGTTCCCATTAACCAGTTTTCCTTTACACAGCTTTATTTATTTCAAAAAAACCAAATAACTTTACATTTCTTGGTATATGTTTGTAATCATCACTCTAGATGGCAAACTCGTGGAAGGCAGAAATCTGATTTTTTGTTTCCAAAGTAAACTAATGCTGTTTCAACAGTGAAAAACATTTCAAAGCATTGTTAAGTGTTGGGGGGTGGTATTATATTGAGGTAATATGTATTCTTTAGTTTACCACCTATGCATTATTTTTTAAAATGTAGTTTTCAATTATAGTCGACATACAATATTGTATTAGTTTCAGGTGTACAACATAGTGATTAGACATTTATATACCTTACAAAGTTATCCCCCTGGTAAGTCTAGTGCCCATCTGACACCATGCACAGTCATAACAGTCTTATTGACTATGCTGCACTTTACATGACTCTAACTAGACATTTGTCTCTATGCATTATTGAAGTAAGTTTTTTAACATTCTACCCATGTCACTTACCTTTGGGGGTATTGGACATGTTTTTCCATATTGACTAGGCCTAACCTGAAGAAGCAGAAGACCCGTGTTCTGGTATCTAGGAGAAACAACACATACAAGTGGGTACAGACTCACAGGCAGAGCAGATGAGAGCCCCGTGGACCCGATGCGATTGTCCCGCGTGAGGAACGCTGGAGGCCTGCTCCGCCCGGTGCACTGTGATCAGACCTGACAGTCCCGCCCCTTACGGGATTCCACAGTTTGGCCGGCACAGGGCGCACATAGTGGGAAACAGAAGTGAGCGTCTAGCGGCATTTCCATCCCCGTTTCACTGGGACTGTCAGTCCCCAGAGGGACATGACATGACAGTATGACAGGGCCATAGCCACTGCGGTGGCTCCTCTAGCCTCTGTGCCTTTCCCTCCTGTTTATCACACCTTTGGAACAATGAAGAGTAGGTTATGAAATTAGTTTCCTGACCCACATTATGCTGCATAGTATCTCCCTGGAATAGAAAGGGAGATCAGACATGACGCCTTTCTAGCTTAGGGAGTGCATGTAAGTCATCTGTGCTCAGGAGAACAGAACTCACACTCCCAGGAGACACGTGGAAGGCTGCGCTCACACCCCCGCCCCTGCTAAGGTTTTTACTTTTGGAAAAAACGGGAAAAGCAAATGCAAACAAACTAACCACAAACAAAGGTTTTTTTCTTCCAGTGTTTATTACATTTTAATATTTATTTAGTTATATATCAGATATAAAATGTAATAAATAAATGAGGCTACAAATATCTCATTTTCATATTTTTAACATCACTATACCATAGTTCATCAATTCTAAGACACATGTTTTTTTTTCTCATTTAACACCTTTGAAATCAGGAAGCATCTTATAATTAATTATAACTATGCCAATTATGGCCTTTTTTAGTTTGATGGCATCTTTGATTTGATAAATTTAGTAATATAGTATAGATCTGTAAAGGACACTAAAATAAATATTTCATCTTCAATTTTCTACACAGTTTTTCTTATAGACACATTATTTTCCTACCATGGGTTGATTTCAAAGCCTTGGTATTTTTTCTCAAGTCTCAGACTAACCTAAAGTATCCTGGACAATTTGATATGTATGTTTCCATTGAACCACAAAGAATGTTCTACATTTTCATACATAATACTAATTTCACATATATCCAGACACTTCATGGAATTTCAAGTCTGGATATTTAAAAGGATATGAAGCCATTTAAATGAAAGGATATCATATTACCTGAATAGCATATTTAACATGAGTACTTTAAAAATCATACTTACTGTAAGTTGAAGTAATCTTCTACTGCCTCATAATTTATATTCTGAAAAAATGTTAAGGTCTGAAAAAGAAAATAAAAAAGTTCACATAAAGCAGGAAAATTGGGAATGAGGAAAATAGACACTTTCAAGATAGATTTAAATCTTTAGGTAAGAAAAATTATATATTTAGCATTTTTTTCCAATTTATTTTCTTTTCTATCTTAGAAAACTCTAATTATGTACATATTAGATTTACTTTGTTACATTTACCTTTTAATTTTATATTATGATAGTCCTTTTATTTCTATTGCTTCTGTCTCCCTTCTCATTTGACTTTTGTCATTATGATATTCTTATTTTTTGTTTATATCCCGAGCATAGAAGACTTTTCACTTTCTTCTGTTTTCTAATAACCTTGTCTCTGACCCTTTTTATTTCTTCTTTGAGGGTTTTAAATGATTACAGATATCATATTGTCTATAGTTTTTGAGACTAAGGAATTATTTGCCTGAACCTTTTCTTTGTAGTTTTTGAGTAATTAAAAAAAAAATGTCCATTTGCCTTTTGCATATGTTCCTGTTATTTTATTCCATCTGGGGCTTGTTTCATCTCAATTTTCCATATTTCATAAGGTTGCTATATTCTCAGGGCACAGTTTTTTACAGGACATATATTAGAGGCAGAAAACTATAAGCTGCACATTTTTAAAGTATGCTAATTATATCCCTGGATCCTTAAAATTTTTATGTAGTGCTTTGTTTTATATATATATTTTTTATAGATATATATAGTTCTTTGTTTTATATATGTGTGTGTGTGTATATATATATATATATATTTTTTTTTTTTTAAAGTTTTTGAGGAACTTCCATACTGTTATCCAAAATGCATATATGTTAGTTTCTTTCCTTGAACATGGAGCTAGATTTATTTTTAATGTAATGACCTTCACAACCTTCAACTTTATCACAAAAGATCACATATTTTGTGTGATACCACTTAGCATCCAGTGTACCTGAACCTTGTCTCAGAAATAAGATTTTTGGCTAAGATTTTTCAGAGGCAGAGAATCTCTGTTATTTTTTTTAAAAAAATCTATGTTTTTATTGATTTTTTTAGAGAGAGAGGAAGGGAGAGAGAGATAGAAACCTCGATGTGAGAGAGAGACATTGATTGGCTGCCTCCTGCACACCCCCAACTGGGGATCGAGCCTGCAACCCCGGCATGTGCCCTGACCAGGAATCGAACCAGGACGTCTCAGCCCATGGGACAATGCTCAATCCACTGAGCCACACTGGCCTGGCAGAATCTCTGTTCTTATTACAATGTATTAGCCAGAACCAAATTGATCTCTCTCTAAACACACACACACACACACACACACACACACACACACAGAGTTTTATATATCTCAAGATAAATATGTATGAAGAAATACTAAGTCAGCTCAAAATGAGATTAGTTTCTTGAATGGAAGACCTGAAACCATTTAAAACTCCTAAAAGAAAATATAGCTGTAAGGGTTAATAGCCATACTATATAAGGAACTCTTAAAAAAAATTTTTTTTTCTTTATTGATGTTAGAGAGAGAGGAAGAGAGATAGAAATGTCAATGAGAGAGAACATTCATTGGCCGCCTCCTGCATGCCCCCCAGTGAGGATCAAGCCCACAACCTGGGCATGTGCCCTGACTGGGAATTGAACTGTTGACCTCTTGGTGCAGGGTCAATGCTCAACCACTGAGCCACACCGGCCAGGCGGGAATATATAAGGAACTCTAACTCAGCAGCAAGAAAGGAAATAATTTGATTAAAAAATGGGTAGAGGATCTGAATAGATATATTTCCAAAGAAGAAATACAGATGACCAAAGGACATGAAAAGGTGCTTAACATCACAAGTCATCAGGGAAATGCAAATCAAAACCACAATGGTCATCATCTCACACCTGCTGGAATGGCTGTAATAAAAAAGTCAAGAGGTGACAAGTGTTGGAGAAAATGTGGAAAAAAGGGAATCTTTGTGCACTGCAGGTGGGAATGTAAATTGGTGCATTTTGGATAACAGTATGGAGGTTCCTCAAAAATTAAAAATAGAACTACCATGTGATCCATCAATTCCACTTCTAGGTATTTATCCAGAGGAAACAATAACACTGTCTTAAAAAGATATATGCATGTCCCCCACCCCCTGTGTTTACTGCGGTATTATTTGCAGTAGCTAAGACATGGAAGCAACCTAAGTGTCATTCAATGGATGAATGGATAAAAAAAATAGTATAATAATATATGCATACAAAGGAATTTAAAAAAATCCTCATCTGAGGATATTTCCATTGACTTTATAGAGGAAGGAGAGAGAGAGAAAGATCTATTGGTTGCCTTCCACATGCACCTGACCAGGGATCAAACCCACAACCTGGGTATGTGCCCTGACTGGGAATCAAACCTGCAACTCTCTTTGTGCAGGGGACAATGTTCAACCAACTGAGCCGCCAGGCTGGGCAATGAAATATTATTTAGCCATGAAAAAGAAATTCTGCCATTTGCAACAACATGGGTAGAACTTGAGAGCATTATTATTTTATTTATATGTGGAATCTAAATAAAACAAACAAACTATAGAAACCTCCAAAATAACCCTATGAATTCATAGATACAGAGAAAAGATTGTTGCCAGAGGTGAGGTTGGGGGGCCGTGGTGGGCAAGAGGGGTGAAGGTGGTCAAAAGGTAAAAACTTCTGGTTATCAATCACATAAATAAGTCAGGGGATGTAATGGACAGCATGGTGACTATAGTTAATAATATGGTATTGTATGTTTTAAAGTTGCTAAAAGAGTAGATCTTAAATGTTCTCATCACAAGGAAAAAAATTGTAACTATGTGGGTTGATGGATGTTAACTAGACTTATTGTGATCATTTCACAATATATACAAATATTGAATCATTACATTATATGCCTGAAACTAATATTATGTGATATGTCCATTATATCTCAATTAGAAAAAAGGAATTATATCAATTAAGATACTCAAAAATAATTTTTATAATTTCAAAACTAACTTTTGGTGTAAATATCACTATGAAACTAGGTAATAGCATTGAGAACTTTCCAAATTAAAGTTATCCACTTTTCTATATGGTTGTTCTCTCTCTCGCTTTTTTTTTTTTTTTATCCTCACCCGGGGACATTTTTCCATTTTTTGTTCAGATAGAGCGGGAGGGAGAGAGAGGAAGAGAGAGAGAGAAACATCGATGTGAAGGGACACATCGAGTGGCTGCCACCCTCACGACCAACCAGGGCCGGGGACAATCTGCAACCGAGGTACATGCCCTTAGCGGGAACCGAACCCGGGTCTCTCTGGACCGCAGGCCGACGCTCCAACCGCTGAGCCAAACCGGCCAGGGCTCTCTCTCTTTTTTTAATGAATGATTAGCACTAGCCTCTTTAAAAAAATTTATTTTTATTTTTATTTTTTATCCTCACCCAAGGACATTTTTTTTTTGGCATTTATCTTCAGATAGAGCGGGAGGGAGAAAAGGAGGAAGAGAGAGAAACATCAGTGTGAGAGAGACACATCGACTGGTTGCCACCCACATAACCCCAACCGGGGCTGGGGACAAACTGCAACCGAGGTACGTGCCCTTAGCGGGAACCAAACCCAGGACTCTCTGGTCTGTGGACTGACGCTCTAACGACTGAGCCAAACCAGCCAGGGTAGTACTAGCCTCTTTTTAAAAAACACTTTTTCTTTATTGATTTTAGAGAGAGAGGAAGAGAGATAGAAACATTGATAGAGAACATCGATTGGCCACTTTTTGCATGCCCCCACTGGGGATCAAGCCCACAACCTGGGCATATGCCCTGATCAGGAATTGAACCAGTGACATCTTGGTGCATGAGTCGATGCTCAACCACTGAGCCACACTGGCTGGGCATACTCCTTGTTTCTTGAAACACAATCAATTCAGTCTCATTTATTACATTTTACTTTTCCCCTGAATCATCTTCTCCCATTCCCTCCCCAATAATAGGCACCCATAACATATATCAAACAAATATTATTCATATTACAGGCATACAAAGATACCCAAGGACATATATTATACAAGTATAATATATCTCAGTTTCTTACTCACTCAGCACTATATTTTAAGATCTATCCATGTAATTGTATTCAAATCTAAACCTGCTTTGTTTCCAAACCTGTTTATGTCAGATTGCATTACTATTGTAGTGATGAAATTAAACTAAATACTATGGACTGATGAAATAGGAGTGTAAAAAAAGTAGTTACTGTTTCCCCGAGAACTAAATTGATTGCTTTGGAAAGTTTTGATAAAGCAAGTCACTGAAGAAACTGCTGAATCAGGTATGAGGAAGATAACAGTAAAAGACTGAAAGAACTTGCCTGGCTGGTGTGGCTCAGTGGTTGAGCATTGACCCATGCACCAAGAGGTCACTGTTCGAATCCCAGTCAAGGAACATCCCCGGGTTGTGGGCTTGATCCCCAGTGGGGTATGTGCAGGAAGCAGCCAATCAAATTCTCTCTCATCAATGTTTCTATCTATCCCTCTCCCTTTTTCTCTCTCTAAAAAATCAATAAAATATATTTTAAAAATGTTTAAAAGACTGAAAAAAACGTATTAAAATCTAGAACTTTGGTTGTCTTAAGTGTCTTAAAGACCCCCCACCCCCCATCTTAAAGAAGCTGAAATGGAAACTCGGAGATGATGCATTATGCATAAGGTTAAGCAAGAAAGGAGATGAGGACTCCAGTAAGGATTTATTTCAAAGATATTCATTCACTGCCCTGGCCGGTTTGGCTCAGTGGTTAGAGCGTCGGCCTGCGGTACAGAGAGACCCGGGTTCGGTTCCTGCTAAGGGCACGTACCTCGGTTGCAGTTTGTCCCCGGCCCTGGTTGGTCGTGCGCGTGGCAGCCACTCGATGTGTCCCTTCACATCGATGTTTCTCTCTCTCTCTCTTCCTCTCTCTCCCTCCCGCTCTGTCTGAACAAAAATGCAAAAATGTCCTCGGGTGAGGATTAAAAAAAAAAAGATATTCATTCACTTATTTAAGTTAAAGTAAAATGTTTTGCATAGGTCAGTTTCCTTTTAGTTTCCTTTTATTTCTGATTTTCTGTTTTAACTGACTCTGGGATGAACTGAACACTTCCATTCCACTGTATCAGTTAGGAGGCCCCCTACTGTGTAAGCTCAAGGAAGCTGGGCCTAGAAGAGGAAGTGGGGGATGGAATGCACAGTATTTGGGAAGACATGGCAGTAACATGTAAAATGCTTATGCTATAATATTAATTGGAACAGTAGCACACGAAACAATGTATTCCGGATATTCACACCAACTGGGATAGAACATTTGCAAAGAGACTGCAGTGATTCCTCTCGTTCATGCAGGCTCCTCCCTTTACAGTGTATTTTTGCTGTTCTATTAAGAGGCCGAGCTATTTCCCCACACTATTAATCAGGGCTGGCCTTGTGAATTGCTTTGATGAAGAGAATGAGGCCAAACCTAGGTCTCGAGAGGCCTCGTTGCTTCTGCTCTCACCGTCCTAGAACACTGTCCTGAGACTGCCGTGCAGAGAAGCCAGGTCTAGTGTAGGATGGAAGCCACATGGAGCAGGGACAAGCACTCCAGCCGAAGCCCCTTATCCTGACAAGCCAGCGCCTGCATCAGCCACTTGGCATGTGAATGAGACCATTGTAGACCATCCTATCCCAGACAAGCCACCAGATGACCACAGCTTCATGAATGAACCCAGGTGAAGGCAGCTGAATGCCCAGCTACCCACAACCCAAATTGTTGACTCACAGAACTGGTTGTTGTTTGAACTCATTAGGAGAAACCGGTCACTACATAAATAAAAAAATAAAAGGAAACAACAATACAACTGACAGTCAGATACTTCTGCAGGAATGTAGTTTAAGGGGCAAAGAGGCCTTAAACGTTCAAAATGACAATTGTGGCTAAGGAATTAATAATGGCTAATCATAGTATAATTTATTAAAAATGTGTATATTTCTCAACATTTTCCAAAGTAAACCTAGAAGGGAAATTTGTTTTTAAAAAATATTAACATTCTACTTTTACATTTATTAAAATCAAATTAAGAAGTTTTAAAATATTAACTTACCATGGTTTTAGTGCAGTATCCTAAAGTAATTTCATATTGAACTTGTTCTCTCATTTCTAATATCTTTGGACCATATAATTCCACAATAATATACAGAACCATATTTTCTGGGTAGACTATTCGAGACCAAATTGACAGGTTCTGTCCCTTGTCCAAAATGTAAAAAACTTTAAAAATATTATAATGAAATGCCACGAAAGGGCATTTTTCTTTTGTTTTGAAAGTTATACTTTGTAATTCCAGAGTTAAGGGATAGTCCTGTGGATATATTGTGCCATTTTTAAAAACATGTAAGAGATACATGTAACCAGATATATTCAATAAAATGAATGATTTTGTTGTGTTATTTGTCCATAAATGTAGCTTTACTGCATCTCTAATATTAATCTTGAAATAAAACATTACATTATTTTCCATTTTTACCACAATATTTCCATAGTAATCTGGAAAAAAGAGAAAAAAGTTTGAGTTATTCTAAATAACCATAAATCCATGCTATTTTATTTCAGTGGATACTTAACCAAAATATTTTCTTTTGTAATGACTGAGTATTCATGTCCTGTGAGAAAGTTGAGTGTGTAGGCACAAACCTGCAACTTTGCACAACACTGGATAACTTCTCTTCCACTTCACAATAGAGTTTTTTTTTTTTTCCTGGACACCTTTCCCCTGTAATTACTATATCACATCATTTGCAGAGAAAAAAGAAGCTAGAATCGGTGTGTTAAATAATAATGAGAATGAGCATGACAGGATGGAATTATTAGGAAGCAGTGTGTTATGGACTAAATTATGTCTTCCTCTCGAATGCATATGTTGAAGCCCTATCTCCTGTTGTGACTGTATTTGGAGATAGAGTCTTTAAGGAAGTGATTTAGATTAAATGAGGTCATGAGGTCATAAGGTCACACCCTAATCCAGTATGCCTGGTGTCCTCATAAAAGGAGGAAAGGCACCAGATCTCTCTCTCCCTCGCCCCTCCCCCCTCTCTTTGCATGCACACGGAGGAAGGGACATAGCGAGAAGGTGACTGCCGTCTCCAACAAGAGAGTCCTCATCGGAAACCAACCTCGATGACACCTTGATCTTGGACTTCCAGCCTCCAGGACCATGAGAAAATAGATTTATTTTTAAGCCACCTAGTCTGTGGTATATGGCACTCCTAGCAGAATACGTTTGGGATGAAGAAGTGGGGGTGGGGCTCAGTGGTTGAGTGTTGACCCATGCACCAAGTGGTCGCTGGTTCAATTCCTGGTCAGGGCACATGCTGGGGTAGTGGGCTCAACCCCCAGTGAGGGGGATGCAAGAGACAGCTGATGCTCTTCCTATCTCCCCCTCTCTCTAAGATCAATAAAAAAACATATTAAAAAAAAGCATTGGGGTTGGGATTGGAACCTCTTCAGGTTCACTCTGTAAATAATACATTTTCTTTCCTCAGTAGGGTATTATGCTTCAGTCATAGAGGTTCGTAGATAATAAGTCTCTTAACCTCTTTGGTTCTACAGCCGTATCTGTAAAATCAACAGTGAGTTGATTTCATAGCTTCCTTTTCAGATACAGAATCGTCTGCGGACCACTTCTAGGACTACACTTTAATTTTCATCAACTACACTCGGAGAGGATGGCTGAAAGGAGGAAGGGGAATTCAGAGCATGTTGTGCTTCTGTGTCTTACATTTGGAATCGGAATAAATAAGTGATCTTTTCACAAATTACCATGAATTATATTCTAGTTAAACCCCTAAGTTAGAAATGCCAGGTTTTTTTTTTTATCCTCACCCGAGGACATTTTTCTATTTTCTATTCAGATAGAGTGGGAGGGAGAGAGAGGAAGAGAGAGAGAGAGAAACATCGATGTGAAAGGGACACATCGAGTGGCTGCCACCCACACGACCCAACCAGGCCCGGGGACAAACTGCAACCGAGGTACGTGCCCTTAGCGGAAACCGAACCCGGGTCTCTCTGGACCGCAGGCCGACGCTCTAACCGCTGAGCCAAACCAGCCAGGGCAGAAATGCCAGGGTTTTTTTTTTTTTTTTTAAAGGATCAGATACTTTAATATCGGTATCAACATACATTTCCTTTTAAAGTTAAGCTCCCATATATAGGGTGTCCCAAAAAAATGTATACACACAAAAAAAGTGTAATTCTAAAGCCAGTGTTTATTAAAATACATTTCATTTTCAAAATGTAACAGAATCTACGGATACCCTGTATACATTCTTCTGGAATACCCTGTAGTAATGATGTTGTCAGTAGGAGTTCAACAATATAATAATGTTCCTAAAATCGTTACACAGACAGGTGAGGTTGATATGAAGCTTGGAATATTTTTTAGGGTTTTAGTGAAACTGCAAGGATAAAATGCTCTTAAAGCTGAGGCAATGGCACAGGAATCAAACACCGGTGTTTTCGTGGTTCTGCCGCTGTGTACGGGGGACAAAGCTGCGGTGCCAAAGTGTTTGGGGCCATAGTGTGACTGGGTCATTCTTCCCATGTAACTTCAATTTCTTTACGCATTTAATTTTGTTTTGCTTGCTTTTGGCAATAAATCCATCCAGACTTACCAAATTATTGGCCTGTTGTGCTTTGTGTGTTTCTAGAAACTTCCCAAGGTGGAAGTCAAGAAAGATGTGGGTGATGACATAATAACATATATCTCTGTTGAATGAAAAAAGTAATTGCAGGCTGTACAGTATGATGATATTTGAAATAGAAAAATCTCACAAAAATATGTTGTTTTTGGGTTTTATGAAATAGTTATGGGGATGTAACTATTTTATACAGCAAAAAGGTCTACTTAAACGCTACAATACCTGTTGTAACTTGAACTTGTGTTCCCCCCACAAAAGATATGTTGAAGTTCTAACTCTCAGTACTACTTCAGAATGTGATTTTTTTGGGAAATAGGGTCATTACAGATGCGATCGGTTAAGATGAGGTCACACTGGAGTAGCGTGGGCCCTGTTGTCCTTGTAACAAGAGGGCCTATGAAGACAGGGAGAATGCTTTGTGATGATGAAGGCAGAGATCTGACCGGCGTGGCTGCAAGCTAAGGAATGGCAAGGTTTGCCAGAAGCCAGAAGCTAGGAAGAAGGAAAGGTTCCCTTCAAGTTTCAAAGAGAGCATGGCTTGCCCACACCTTGAAAGCAGACTTCTAGCCTCCAGAACTGTGAGACAACACATTTTGGTTGTATTAAAACACCCAGTTTGTGTACTTTGTTACACGAGCCCAGGAAACGGATGCAACACCGCGCCACCTCCTGCACTGAAAATGCACATGGAAGTTGCTTAGTTAGTATCTGCTGACTGACCAAAATGAACCTCTGCAAAAAAAAGTTGTTTACCATTGTGTTATATAAGATCGTAGTTAATGTTGAATTTGATATCCATTTTTAGGTGGTAAAAAGTGTACCTTTACCTACCAAAAGTACCATACATTAGTGCATTTAAAATTGCTACATATTCATAAGAGAGACATCTGTGATGAAATCTAGAATATATTTTGCAAAATGAGAATGCCTCACCTATATAAACATCATGAATATTACTGTTACGTGATACAATCCCAAATTCTGCAGGCATTTGTAAAACTCCAGTATCAGTGAAATTGTGATAACAATAGTAGATCTTCTTTTTGTCCCATAGTATTAATTCTGGCATCGCTGAATATAGAAAATGCAAACTTATAAAGCTGTCAACTGTGACATCTAATGCAAAGTCTTGATATGTCCAATCTTGTTTATCTTCATTATATATCACTAGGTAAATTTTTTTAATGACATTACATTGGACACAGTAATTTAATAACAAGGCAAGTTCCAAAGGGTGTCCTGTATACTCAACATTGTGTATAGTCAGAGTAGCAGCTGAGGATATATTTAGAATTTTTTGCAGTTTATTAGTACTTGTTATTTTGGAAAATTTAAGAGAAGTATATCCAAGATAAAGTTCTTGTTTTGTCCAGATTGCCATGCTGCTTCTTCTTTTAGCCTGTGACAAAATTGAAAAGAATGAGGAAATCTTCAATTTTAGGGATAGTCCTAACAATTCCTGTCTTCTAACTTGCTATATTTAAAAGTAAAACACAGTAACTAGTAAGGTTTAATTTTTAGTGTATTTCTGAAAATACTTCAGGCGTAGTAGAATATGTGACATAGAAATATGTCATATTACATTATAACCACACAAATAAATTATTCCAGTAATTTAATTTTATATGTTGTTATATCAGTAGAAATAATTAATCTTAATTCCCTTTTAATTCCTCAAAGAGTATTAAGCTTCTCTTTCTTATGTACTTATTTACTCTGGCCAGAAGTGCTCCTTTGACCTTGCTTTTTACTAAGATCAATCTATAAGGACACTTCACACATTAAATTATTTTTGGAATTGTAGCTTCTTTAGGTATCGGATAAAGGGAAGAGAGAACTTAAAACTTTATAAACAGTATGGTGTTTCCTCAAAAAAATTAAAAATTGATCTGCCATTTGACCCAGTGATCTCACTTCTAGGAATATACCCTAAGAAGCCCGAAACAGAAAGAACATATGCACCCCTATGTTCATAGCAGCACTATTTACAATAGCTAAGATCTGGAAACAGCCCAAGTGTCCATCAATAGATTAGTGGATAAAAAAGCTGTGGTACATATATATAATAGAATACTATGCAGCTGTCTCTTATCCTTTGAGATGACACGGAGGGACCTGGAGAGTATCATGCTAAGCAAAATAAGCCAATCAGAGAAAGACAAATACCACATGGTCTCACTTATGTGTGGAATATAATGAACAAGGTGGGCTGATGAATGAAATAGACCCAAAGACATAGAAAAGAGTATGGTTCAGACTGACAAACCTCAGAGGAGGGGGGCGAGGGGGATGAATGAGATGAACCAAAGAACTGATATATATGTATGCATAACCAGTGAACATGGACAACAATCTGGGGGGCTATGAGGGGACAGGAAGGGGAGGAGGGTGTCTAAGGGGGAAAAAGGAGAAACATCTGTAACAAAAATAAATTAATAAAAGTTGGAAAAAACTTTATAAACAAATAAATACTCCCCTTTCATGGACAGTCTGTTAGAGAAAAAGGCCATTCAAGAGACTATGTCTGGCCCTGGCCAGTTTGGCTCAGTGGTTAGAGCGTCGGCCTGCGGTCCGGAGAGACCCGGGTTCGGTTCCCGCTAAGGGCACGTACTTCGGTTGCAGTTTGTCCCTGGCCCTGGTTGGTCGTGCGGGTGGCAGCCACTCGATGTGTCCCTTTCACGTCGATGTTTCTCTCTCTCTCCCTTCCTCTCTCTCCCTCCCACTCTATCTGTAAAAAAAAAAAAAAAAAAAAAAGGAAAAATATCCTCTGGTGAGGATTAAAAAAAAAAAAGAGACTATGTCTGAAATTCAGTAGGCCTAATTTCATTTAGAGAGTCTAGGCTCCCCCTCCCCTTCTCCAGCTGTTTCTAATTATTAGAGATTTTTATTTAAAATGTAGCTTCTATGTTCATGACCACCAAAAGGAGTCTTCTGAGCCCATCTTGTCTCCCTTACTTTAATTAATTTACAAATATTTAGTCTATACTCAAATAGGATGTACAGATACCAAACTGCTAACCAAAGAAAGAGACTATTTGGGGTAAAAAGTATTTTTATCAAATGAAGATTTAACTTTAAGTCTAGAGCTCATGTTGCTGGAAAAGAGTGTGAAACAGTCCTCAAAGAGGAAACAGATAAGAAACAAAATGATGAGTCCTTCATAGAAACGACTCACAGCTATTCTCGTTCTTGGCAGAGGGATGGGAAGAGGAACACGCCGAAAGTACCACAGACGGGAATTCCAGGGAGCCCCAGCCCCAGAATGAGCTTTCACTTACCCACAGTTTCCCTGAACCTTCACTTAGTGCTTACCTATAGTACACCAAAGTCTCGGGCAGGGTATTTTTATATGAAACATCTTCCTTATCTCTACTGTACATGCTCATTTCGTAGCCTTTGAATATGTGAAATATAGTTATAATAACTTGTTTAATGCTCTTGTCTGGTAACTCTAGCATCTGTGCCACTTTGGGTTCAGTTTTATCTATCTATCTATCTATCTATCTATCTATCTATCTATCTATCTATCTATCTATCTATCCATCCTCACCCAAGGACATTTTTCCAATTTTGTTCAGATAAAGTGGGAGGGAGAGAGAGGAAGAGAGAAAAACATTGACATGAAAGGGACACATCGAGTGGCTGCCTCCCACACGACCCTGTTGGGATTGGGATGAATCCAAGCGAGGTACGTGCCCTTGACCGGAACTGAACCCGAGACTCCTTGGTCCGCAGGCCGACACTCTAACCGCTGAGCCAAACCAGCCAGGGTGGTTTGGGTTCAATTTTAATTGGTTAAGTTTTCCCCTCATTATGAGTCATATTTTCCTGTTCTTTGTATGCTTGGTTTTTTTGATTAGATGACAGAAATTGATCCTTTTGTTTTAAATCCTCACCTGAGGATATTTTTCTATTTATCTTCAGGAAGAATGAGAAGGAGGGAGGGAGGGTGGGACAGACATCTATGTGAAAGACACACATCAACTGGCTGCCTCCTGCAGGACCCCTACCAGGACCGGGGCAAACTGCAACTGAGGTACTTGCCCTTGACCAGAATCGAACCAAGACTCATTGGTCAGCAGGCCAGTGCTCCAGCCACTGAGCCAAACCAGCCAGGGCTCAATGACAGAAATTGTAACTATTACCTCGTTGAGTGTTGAGTATTTTAAATAGATTTTCTGGATTTTTGTTCTGATATGTAATTCAGTTACATGGAAACAGCTGAGCCCTCGGGTCTGGTTTTTAAGATTTGTTAGATGGGACCAGAGAAGCGTTTAGTACAGTGATGATTATTCCTCAGTGCTGAGAAAAGACCCTTCTGAGCACTCTACCCAATCCCCCATCATTATTAGCATTTTCAGTCTGAATGGTTCGAACAGGATCTATTCCCATCCTGTGTGAGCTATGAATTCTATTCCCTCGTCTTTTCAGACTTGGGTTCTTTCCAGACTTGGATAGCTTCCTCACATACGTGACCTTGTTAGTGCTCTGCTGAACACATGAGGTGGACCCTCTGCAGATCTCTGGATTCGGTGTGCAGCCCTCTCATCTCTGATATTCTGGTTTGCCCACTCCAGCCACCGTGGCCTCTCCTGACGGACAGCTTCACTTCCTCGGCTCAGGGATCTGCTGGCTCTGCCTGGGCTTCCCACGTCACTGTTCCACGGCCTGGGAACTTCTTCAGGGGCAGTTGCAGGGCTCATCTTGATTTCCAATGTCTTGAGAAGCATCGTTTCATATATTTTGTTCAGTTTCTTTGTTGTTGTTGGACGCAGGCAGGTAAATATGTAGTCCCTGTTTCTGTGTTTGTTTTATCCTCACCCGAGGACACTTTTCCATATTTTGTTCAGATAGAGTGGGAGGGAGAGAGAGAGAGAGAAATAGAGTGGGAGGGAGAGAGAGAGAGAAATAGAGTGGGAGGGAGAGAGAGAGAGAAACATCAATGTGAAAGGGACACATCGAGTGGCTGCTACCCACATGACCCAACCAGGACCGGGGACAAACTGCAACCGAGGTACGTGCCCCTTGTAGGAACCGAACCCAGGTCTCTCTGGACCGCAGGCTGACGTTCCAACCACTGAGCCCAACCAGCCAGGGCTGTAGTCCTTGTTTTTTATTCCATCTTGACCAGAAGTGGAAGTTTCTAAGATAAGCATGTAATACTATAAATTTTCCTCCAAGCATTGCTTTAGCAGAATTCTATAAAATTTGATATCATATATTCTCATTTCACTCAATTAAAAGATTTCCTAATTTCCCTTGAGATGTCCTATTTAACACATGAATTTTTTTAGAAGAGTGTTGTTTTTCTAAGAATTTCCAGATATCCTTCTGTTTTTTTTTTTTTTTTTTCATCCTTACCCGAGGATCCTTTTCCATTTATCTCCAGATAGAGTGGAAGGAAAGGAGGGAGGGAGGGAGGAGAGAGAGAGAGAGAGAGAGAGAGAGAGAGAGAGAGAGAGAGAGAAACATCAATCTGAGGGAGACACATTGATGGATTGCTTCCCACACAATCCTGACCAGGGCCGGAGACTGAACCGCAACAAAGGTACGTGCCCTTGACAGGAATCAAACATGCAACTATTTGGTCCACCGATTGATGCTCTGACTGCTGAGCCAAACCAGCCAGGGCTATATTTCTGTATTGGCTTCTAGTTTAATTCCATTGTGGTTAGAGGACATACTTTATATGATTTACATTGTTTGAAATTAATTGAGGTTCATTTTATGACTTAGTATATGGCCTATCTTGGTAAATGTTCTATGAACACTTGCCAAGAACATGTAATCTCTTGTTGTTGGGTAGAAAGTCTATAAATACCAATTAAATTCAGTGGCTAATTCAGTTCTTCTATACCCTTGCCTATTTTTTGCTATTCTATATTCAACTATAATTATGGAGTTTTCCATTTCGTCTTTCAATTTTATCATTTTTAATATATATTTTAAATATGTTGTATTTTTATTTTCATTAAGTTAAAAATGATTTCTAATTTCTCTTAAAACTGTCTTTGTCCAAAGGGTATTTATTTGTGTATTTGTACATTTTGAAATACTGATGGCATTAGCTTTAACAAATTTCTAGTTTAATCTGTTAGGATCAGAGAACATACTTTGATTTCTATTCTTTTAAATTTATTAAATTTTGTTTTATATTCCAAAATATAGTCTATCTTGGTTAATGTTCCATTTCCACTTGAAAAGAATGTATTTTCTGTTATTATTGGGTAGAGTATATTTTACAAATGTCTGTTAGGTCAAGGTGGTTGATAGTATTATTCAGGAGTCAGCAAACTTTTTCTGGAAAAAACCAGATAGTAAATATTTTAGGTTTTGGGCTATGTAGTCTCTGTTGCAAATTCTTATCATTGCTGTTATAGTGCAAAAGCATCTAGAGATAACATACATAAACAAATGAGCACGGTTGTTTTCCAATAAAGCTATTTACAGAAAAGGTGGTAGGCTGGTTTAGGCTGTTGGGCCATAGTTTTCTGACCCATGATGTTTATTTTTGTATATCCTTGCTGAGCTCTGTCTACTCGTTTTATCTATTACTGAAACAGGAGTGTGGAAATCTTCCAATACATTTTTTGATTTATCTATTTTTTTCCATTTGGTTCATTTTGGTTCATGTATTTTGAAGCTCGGTTATTAAGTGAATACACATTTAGGATTATTACATCTTCTTGATGCATTGACCCTTTTATCATTATATAATGTCCTTCTATATCCCTGATTGTTTTCCTAGTGTGTCTGATATTAATAAAGTCACACCAGGTTTTTTTAATAAGTGCTTGTGTGGTATATCCTTTTCCAATGTATTACTTTTAATCCAACTACATTATGTATTTAAAGTGGGCTTACAATTTGTCTTTTTTAAAAAATCCAATTTGACAATATTTGCCTTTTAATTAGTGTTTTAGGCCATTTACATTTAATGAAATTATTGATTTTAATTTTTATTTATTTTTAATCCTCACCTGAGGATATTTTTCCATTGATTTTTTTTTTTTTAAACCACTGAGCTAAGCCATCCAGGGTAAAATGATTAATGTTTTTATACTTAGCACTGCTGTTTTATTTTTTCTGTTTGTATCCTCTGGATTTTGTCCTTATATTTCCCTCTTCTGCCTTCTTTTGGATTATTTGGAAAAAAATTTAATATTCCATTTTAATTTATCTATTGGTTTTTTTTTTTTTTTAACTCTATCTTGTATTTTTTTTTCCATTGGTTGTTCTTGGGGTTACAATATATGCACTTAACTTTTAAAAAAAAGTTTTTATTTCCTTTATTAATTGAGAGAGAGGAAGTGAGAGGGAGAGAGAGATAGAAACATTGATGAGCAAGGACATTGATTGGCCACCTTCTGCATGCCCCCAGCTGGGGATCGAGCCCACAACCTGGGCATGTGTCCTGACTGGGAATCGAACCAATGACCTCCCGGTGCATGGGCCAAAACTCAACTGCTGAGCCACACTGGCCAATCTATGCACCTAATTTTTAATAGCCTACTTAGAATTAACACTTTAACATTTTACGTGGAATAAAGAAATCTCATTACACCATAGCTTCCTTTACCTTGCCTCATTTATGTGGTAATTGTCATATCTATTACAGGGGTGGGGCAAAAGTAGGTTTACAGTCGTGAGTACACAAAACACAGTCTTGTATTATTGTATTATTTTCCATATGAACAAACTGTAAACCTACTCTTGCCCCACCCTGCATATACATATATATTAATCAGAAAATGTTATATATTTTAAGTTTTGCCTTTCATATATATTTTAAGGAATGTAAAGATATAGAAATCTATTCTATTTGCCTGTATATCCCATTCCTGCTGTTCTTTATTCATTGCTGAAGTTTTCAAAGTCCTATTTCCATTCCACCCAAACAGCTTCACTAGGCATTTACTTCTTTTAGGGCAGGTCTCCTGGTAACCAATTCTCTTAGTTTTCTTTTATCGAGAATGTCTTTATTTCTCCTTAATTTCTCAAAGACTATTTTGTCTGGAAATAGAATTCTAGATTGATCTTTTTTTTTTTTTCTTTTAGCACTTTAATAATATTGGTTTTGTCATCTTGGGCTCCTGATGAGAAATCTGCCATTATTTGAATAATTGTTCACCTATATATGATGTTTTGATGTCTCATTTTTCTCTTGCTGCTTTCAAGTTTATTACCTTATTTGGTTTTCAGTAGTTTGTTTTGAATTTCTTTGCAATTATCTTGTTTGGAGTTTGCTAAACTTTATGACTCGTAACTTTATACCTGCTGTCAAATATGTAAAGTGTCTAGCCATTATTTATTCTGATATTTTTCTACATTATACTCTTTATTTTCTCTTTCTTGGACTCCAGTGACATGAATGTTAGACCTTTTGGTATAATTCCAAGGTCTCTGAGTCTTGGTTCAATTTTGATAATTTTTCTACTGTTTAGATTGGAAAATCTGTATTGATGTAACTCCAGTGTTATTGACTGTTTCCTCTGTCATGTCATCTCAATTCTGCCATCGAGCACATCTAATAAATTCTTATTGCAACTATTCTGTTTATATTCTAAAATCTCTGGTTTTGATTCTCAAAAGTTTAAAAAATTCTTGTTCTTGAGAACAGATTCATTGAATCTACATAATTTTAGGCTGACATTAACTTTATCTCAATTATTTAAGTATTTCACTATCTCTGTCTTCCATTAATCCTGTCTAATTGTTGTATTGTTTATATTTATAATTTGTATTTTCTGTTTGAATACTTTTAATATCTCTTATTAGTCTTTGATAACCTGCAAAATCACTATTTTGTGTCTAAATGGGTTTTCTTTTTTCCTATATTAGTTGGAATTTATTAGTATTTCAGGATTGAGTATTAATATCTTTACTTAACTCTGAAAAATTCTCATCTCTTTCCCATTCTCTCTAATCTTTTATTTTGGAATTCTAGTTAGATATATATTGGATTTTCTCTTTTCCATTCATCTCTCTTTCTCTTTTACCCTCTTTTTCCCCCCAGTCTTTTTTTCTCTCACTTTTTCATTTTGTTTAATTTCTTATCTAATTTACAATTTACTTAGCTATTTTTGTTGTACCCAATCTTCTATTTAAGTTTTCCATTGAATTTTATATTTGTTATTATTAGTTTTATTTGTTATTCCATGAAATGTCATATTTTAACATATTAAAACTTTCTTGGAATATAATTCAGATATGGAAAATAGACCAAATGGAAATAGATGTAGCTAAAAGGTTTATCACAATGCAGAAGTCTATATAATGACTTCTGTTACTTCAGATTAAGTAACAGAATCTTGTCAGAACTCTGAAATGCCACTCATATTCTCTTCCAATCACTACATCTTCCCTTTCCAGGATAACCACTATCCTAAATTTGATGGTAATGAATTCCTTGCTTTTAGTTTTACTGATTGCCTTGCCATTTAATAGACTTTTAACAAATGTTTTCTATTTTCTTTTCAGTTTATTTAAATCCAGTAAAAATATTTTATATCTGTCAGTTGCAATATCTGATGTCCTTGTAGGAATGATTCTGCTCTGTTGTTTCTGCTGACTTCCTGTGACATCTTATTTCTTCATATATCTGCCATTTTCAAATGTGAGCTCAATTTTGTGAGAATATTATTCATGGAAAAATTTTAAAGCCTGACCTTATGGTTTATTCCTCCAGAAAAGATTTGTGTTTGCTTCTGCCTGGCACCAGGTTTAATGCTTTTTGGACCACCTAGGTACTATGAATTTGGACCCCAAAGTGCATGTGGGTTGGTTTCTGGTCACGGATTCTAAAGACAGACTTTCTCTTGTCTTCTAAGAGTTAAAGCGGAGATAGACTCAATTGTGTTGGGAGATGTTTGAAGGTTCTTATTTTGTGCAAGAAATGAACAGATGCCCTACCTTGCTTAGCTCTCAGGCTTAGTTTTTAAGTACTAGAGGTCTAAATAGCTGGGAGCAATAGCACATGGCCTTCAGGAGCAGAGATTTTGGATTTGCTTATGTTTCTGGATAAGTGCTCCATGACCTCTTAGAATTTTCCTTACTTCCATGTATGTGCTTAAAAGAAGGTTTAAAAATTTTATAGAGCATTTTAGGTGTTTTGTAATGCTACAGCTTAAGGATGTCTGTTCACTATATTGACAGAAATTAAAAAGTCAATTCATTTTTGAGAGCACATGGAGTTTTTGTTTGGGGAAAATAACTTTTTGATCTTTTGCCCATGTCAAAGTAAAACAAAATTCCCATGGTATGACTAAATAACTCTGCATAATAATATACAAGATTCATTTTATTCTCTGTTGTCAGAGGTGCATCTCTGTAAAGGGCTCTGAGTGGTTAGGTCAGGAAGGTAGAGCTTCTTAACAGCCATAAATAAAATAACTCTGCAAAAAACTGCATAGTATAAATCTCTAATATAGCACTGAATTAAACGGTATGGGAAATATATCTAAATGTGTAAGTGTAAATACATCTATGTAATGTTTTACTAACCTTCATCAAGTATTTGATCCAACACCATTTTCTTGTTGTAATGCCAATGATGTCACCTTCTGGAAGGTTTTCCTTCTTTCCCAGTCTTGTAAACGCAGTCAAACTTCTGACATAAAGGACACCATGTATTAAAAAAAAGATTCCATCCTCAGTTAGGGTCACATCAGACACACTGTGTCTTTCGTTGTCAGTCAGGCTCCCTGTAGGCACTCTGATTCTGGTCCACGTATGAAATGAATCATTTGTTTGAAAGGTCTCCACATCGGCCACCACCACTACTGATGCCGGAGCACAGGCATCCCAGTTTGATATTAACTGACTACCTTGTGGCGAAGAGATGGGTAAAAAGCCAGGAGTCTCAGGTATTGTAAACCAAGGTAAAATAAGCGGGAGCAGGGAATCTGCAATAAAGCAATCTTGAAAAGCCACGTTATTTCCTTTAATCTCTTGTAGCACGTCATCTGTTGTTATTGGTACTGCGATAACCCAGGCCCTGAGAAGAAGAAAACAGAGAATGTAAGAAAATGGTCTCTTTCTCTTCTCCCATCCACCTTGCACAGTGCTGGCATTGGTCATCTTTAAACATTTAAAAAATTTTTTTATCAACATAAACCCAGGTAAAGTAAATCAGATAGCACTAAAATGCTACCCAGTTCTCCTCATTCTTGACTCGTTCCCAAAGGAAAATGATCTTGACTCTTTTTTTTTCAAATCATCACCCGAGGATATTTTTCTATTTATCTTCAGATAGAGTGGGAGGGAGGGAGATGGAGATAGAGAGAGAGACACACACACACATTGATTGGTTGCCTCTCCCATGACACTGATCAGGGCTGGGGAGGAACCTCAACCAAGGTACGTGCCCTTGACATGCCCTTGACTGGAACCGAACCCGGGACTCATTAGTCCTGGGGCCCACACTCCAACCACTGAGCAAAACTGGCCAGGGCAGATCTTAACTCTTAGTACTCTTTCTTCTGCAATGTGTATTCATACTCTCAAATGTTCTCAAATAAATATTCTCACACTGCTCTCTTAATATATAATTTTTATACTTTATCTGTTGGCTTCTTACATGACAGATGAAGATGTATTTCTCATAGCATATACCTACCAACACATCTTCTTTTCAAATTAATGTCACAATGTTTAGCTAAATCTATAGTGTTCATATTATTAATATATACATATTGTTTTCTACCAAGCCAGTTATTGTACTGTGATTTATTTATTTACAATATTTTCCCTAGAGTTACTAAATACTTAGTTTGAAATTTTGTGTAGTTTTCTAACTTTTCAATAGGTAGCTGAAGAGGTGTTCCATAATCCTCTGCGGTCAATGCACAGGTAATCTAGTGCTTGCTTCCTGGGATTTCCTTTCATTCTCTGGGTGGAAGCCACTGTTTACTGGGTTTTTCTTGTTTTGCTAAAGCACATTCTTCAGTAAGTACCTCTCTGCCAAAGGGTATGTCAACATACATTTTTTGAGATCCTGAAATCCAAAAGCATCTTTAACATGCTTGATCATTTGGCTAGGTGGAGACGTCACAACTTGGATGGCATTTCTCCAGTCTTTTGTATTTAGGTTAATTAATGAGAATGACACATTGATTCTTGTTATTACTAAATGGGTTGCCTTTCCATAAGTTTTTAGGGTCTTCCTTCTTTTTCTTGTTATTCTAAAATTTGACAGGGCTGGGTCTTATCTTTTGAAGTGGACACACAGAGGAATTTGTGAAAACAAGCACTTAGCCGTAGCTTAGAAGTCAGAGAAAAGTTCTGGGGAGTGTTTCTTAGCAGGCCAATTCAGAGACATCAGCAGAATGGTCAGTAAATGTGTCTTTAGTTATGTCCTCAATGAATATATACTGGGGTATGTGGTGATGGCATTCTGCCCAGGACCCCAGAATGGGTTCCTGCCAGAGAAAGAAGACCCAGTGTTAGGGTAACTGTAGGGTTGTCACCAAACCTCTCTGCCCTCAGCCACGCCACCATGAAAATCAGTGACTCTAACATTGGTTTCAAGTAGTTTTTAAAAAAATCACCAGTACCATTTTGTTCCATTGTCCACTGGCTATAAAGTCTCACATATGGAGCCACATTACAGCTCAGTATAGTGACTGTTTTGTTTGAATGGATAATTGGTCATTTACAGGCCTAGGAAGGACCCAACACTCAAGGCCTGGCCAAGATGTACTGAGCTTTTCAATTTTCCATGTCTATTATTTTATTTTCAAACATTTGCTTTTTAAAATTATGACTGTAGCCCTGGCCGGTTTGGCTCAGAGGTTAGAGCATTGGCCCGCAGAGCAAAGAGTTGCGGGTTCGATTCTGGTCAAGGGCACATACCTTGGTCGCAGTTCGTCCCTGGCCCTGGTCAGGTTATGTGACACAGAGACAACCAGACGATGTGGCTCTATCACATCGATGTTTCTATCTCTCTAGCCCTCCCTCCCTTCCTCCCTCCCACTCTATCTGATGATAAATAGAAAAACCTCCTCAGGTGAGGAATAAAAATAAAAATTAAAATAAATAAAATAAAACAAAATTATGACTGTACATTTTTCAATTTTTCTTACTAGTTTCCCATTTTATAGCATCTTAGTCTCCTTTTATGTGTATATATTCTATTTCTGTGAAAACGGTATTTATATTGTTTGTGAAGTTTTTTGCTCCCTGCTGTGTACTGTTTCCTCTGAGTTCTGTGGTTCTTTTTATTGGTTTGGGTCTCTGCATTCATGTGGGAGGCTTTCTGTAACTGTCTGGTGGTCCTTGGCTGTCCATTAATATTTAAGAAAGAAGCAGTAACAAGCTGTAGAGTCATTTGTAAGGGGTACCTCTTACTCCCTGGTGCCCCACTGTGCTTCTTCCCTCCCACCTCCAAACTTAAGTTCTTTTAAGTAAGTCTGCTCAGTCAATCCAAAGAGCAGTTCCTTTCTGTCTTGCCAGGAGGCGATGTGCTAAGTTTCCATATTCATGGGATGGGGCTGGAGGCAGGGGCTGAAGATCACGCGGGGGTGCTGCCATCACATTCGACTTCCCTTCTGCAAGCTCCTGACAGAATGTCTGTGCTCTGCTGAGAGTCAGTTACCACTCTCTCTCCTTCCCATCCTCTGTTCTTGCTTTCCTTCCTGTTTGTCCTCATAGGCTTGCAACTTTAGAAACTTTCTCTGTTATTTTAGTGAGATTGTGGGAGAGAACAGAGAAAATAAATACATTCTATCAGCCACGTTTTAATTTACATCCTTCAAACTGAAGTCCATGAAGTCATGTTCTGCTTAGAAGCTTAAATGGTCCTTTATCGATATCCAGGGAAATATGAAAACTATCTCAATCAAATGATTTTCAGGGACTGTGCACTAGTTTCTTCCTATTTTGTTTTACCTGCCATGTTGTATTTCAGGTGTGTTCTTTCCTCTTGCCTTCCAGAACTTTATGCATCCCTCCCCTCTCAGGGAGCACTCATTCCCTTTCTTCATCTGTCTAGCTCTCCTTTGAGTCTTGCCCAAAGACTACATCTTCAACTTTGCTTCCTTGTGTTACTGTGAAGTATATCTTTCATAGGGATAATCTTTTCTAAACCAGATTGGTCAACCACGTGAATGATATTTCATGGTATCCAAGGCAACTTTTTAGAAACAGTCTTCTGATATTCTCTACATATGAGTATTTTCTTTATATATTTAAAAAATATTTAATAATTTTATTATGAATGTATGATATATACAAAAGAGTATATGGTACGCAGGCATGCAGGAGGTGGCCAATCAATGTTCTCTCTCATTGATGTTTCTATCTCTCTCGCCCTCTCCCTTCCTCTCTCTCAAAAAAGAGAAAGACAATCTACCAATCTATTAATATAATTAATAACCTTCCAAAACAAAAAGCACCAGGCCCAGATAGGTTTACTGGTGAATTCTAACATTTAAGGAACAAATTATGCCAATTCTCTACAATCTCTTCCATAAAATAGAAGCAGAAAGAATATTTCCCAACTCATTTTATGAGGCCAGTACTACCCTAATACCAAAATCAGACAAACGCATCACAGATAAAGCTACAGACCTTTTAAATCCAACAATGTGTACAAATAATTATGTATTGCCCTGGCCAGTGTTGCTTAGTGGTCAGAGTGTCAGCGTACACACTGAAGGGTCATGGGTTCAATTCCATTAAAGGCATATACCTGGGTTGCAGGTTTGCTCTCTAGCCTGGTCCAGGCTCGCGAGGGAGGCAACCAATTGATGTACCTCTCTCACATCGATGTTTCTCTCTCCCTCTCTGCCACCTCCCTCCCTTCTACTCTCTCTATAAAAAAAAATAAAAAAAATCAATGGAAAAATTATCCTTGGATGAGGAATAATAATAATAATAATAATAATAGTGCTGTGACCAAATGAAACTTATTCCAGTTATGCATATATGGCTCACATTTAAAAACCAATGAATTAATCCATCACATCAACAGGTTAAGGAAGAAAAAGCATATAATTATATCAATAAATGTGTGAAAAGCGTTTGATAAAAACCAACACTCATTCATGATAAAAACTGTCAGCAAACTAGCAACAGAGGAAAAATTCCTCAACCTGATAAAGAAGCATCTACAAAAAACATGCAAAAAAACGTAATGATGCCCTGGCCAGTTTGGCTCAGCGCTGGCCTGCGGTCCAGAAAGACCCGGGTTTGGCTCCCGCTAAGGGCATGTACCTCGGTTGCAGTTTGTCCCGGCCCTGGTTGGGTTGTGCGGGTGGTGGCCACTCGATGTGTCCCTTTCACGTCGATGTTTCTCTCTCTGTCTCTCTTCCTCTCTCTCCCTCCTGCTCTATCTGAACAAAAAATGTAACAAAAAAATGTCCTCGGGTGAGGATAAGAAAACCAAACCAAACAAACAAACAAAAAATGTAATGATGAGAAACTATATTCTTCCTCCTAGGAACAGGAACAAGGCCCCCCTATTCAACATCATGTTGGAAGCACATGTTGTATCTTTTAGTTATAAGCCCCTTGACCTATGCCTAGGTATTCAATAGAATAAGAAAGTCCGTCTACACCCCACGATAACTTACAGTAACAGATTTTACTTCTCTAGTAGAATTTGTGATAAGCAATTTGTGTGTGTGTGCGCATGCACCTGTGCGCTGTTGGTGGCAACGATTGTGACATTAGTCATACCACTGTGCCTCATTTTTATGAATCAGCAGGAAACATTTTAAGATATTGCCAGGATTTGCCACCATGCTGAAGGAGGTTCTTGGACTGAGGTTTAGCTATTAATACAGATTGTGAGACTATAATCAGGAGTGCAACTAGCATTTTCTGAGTTGGTAACTAGTTCTCATTATCACAATTTTTTTTTTTTTGGTATCATAAAAAAATCTACTTGGAAATTATACATAAGATAGTACATGAAATTCCACTAGGGTTTTAAAATCTTTTACTTTAAGTCTCTGATACTTATTTTACTGAATTTTAAAGATAAATTTTATATTTGAAATAAAAAAATTAAATACCCATTCTTGAGTCTGATAAATGGAAAATAAACTTTTCTCCTCAAAAACGTGTAGATGACTGGCCTCTGTCCCAAAGTGGCCATCTGTTTGCTAAGTATAGCGGAATTCTGTAAAAAAAAAAAAAAAAAAAAAATCTCTTTTTACTTTTTTTGTAGCCAGATTTATTTGGAAATTACATCATGTTATATTAAATTTATTATTTTAGTTAAGAGACTATATTAATAAATTTACTACATTTTTAAGATTCAGGTTTTTTTTCCTACCATTTAGCCCCCTCCCCCATTAGAATTTTATGAATTATAATTAAGTCATAATCCAACTTATACCATGTTGGATATACTATGCACAATCAGAATCCTGGACGAACTGAGACTGAGGACCCTTAAATAAATACCCTTAGTTTTTTGGGTTTTTATTCGCACCTGAGGACATTTTTGCATTTATCTTTAGATACAGTGTGAGGGAGAGAGGTAGGAAGAGAGAGAAAAACATTGATACTAGAGACACATCACGTGACTGCCACCCACATGACCCCAACCAGGGCTAGGGACAAACTGCAACTGAGGTACGAGCCCTTAGCGGGAACCGAACCCAGGACTCTCTGATCCACGGGCCGCTGCTCTAATAGCTGAGCCAAACCGGCCAGCGCCCTTAGTTTTAATATCAGTGAAATACATAATGGAACATCTAAGACTAATCTGTTAGAATTATTTCTAAATGAGCCTGCTTTCAAAGCAACATACTCTTTCAAGGCAGGTTTCAAATTGTATCTGGAGGCTTTGACAAAAATCCTCTTAGTAATAGACCAGTATGACATGCTCCTTCTTTTTCTCGTGAGATTTAAGGAGAAGTTGAATTGACTGGAATTATCCCTAATAAGGCATTTTTAGAATAGAAGCAACAGTTTTATTATGAGGAATCCCTGGAATTAAAAAAATCAGATAAAAAGGGTCAGTCTAGAATTCCATAGCTCCTTTCTGCCCTAATCCTCCCAAAATGCTCCTGTTTGATTTCCTAGAAATACATCAACCACCTACAAAGGAACCTTTGAGATTGCCACATGAGTGTCAGTAAGAGTGCAGCCACTGGGGCTATGGGGTTATGTGACAGATTTAACCCATTTCTGAGAGTGGGAATGGTGGTCAGGGAAGGCCTCCCTGAAAAATATACGTTAATGATTTTGATAGAGAAATATAGGTTTGCTTGGTAAATAATGAACAATATATATTTATTAATATGTTTTTATTGATTTTTTTAGAGAGAGAGGAAGGGAGAGAGAGAGAGAAAAACATCAATGTGAGAGAGAAACATCAATCAGCTGCCTCCTGCACGCCCCCTACTGGGGATTGAGCCCAAAACCCAGTCATATGCTCTAACTGGGAATCAAACTGGGACCTCGCAGTCCATGGGACAATGCACAATTCACTGAGCCACACCAACTGGGCAATAATATTTTTTTAAATTTTGTTTCTGAAAACCTTATTCACCATTCAGAATTTAAAATACAACTATTTTTCATATAACAGTAAAGGAAAAGAGTAGATGAAACATTCTTAATATAGTTTGCTTAAGATGGAAATAAAATATAATTAGCAACACATACAACAAGATGGTAGGAAAAAGGACAGGCCAAGAAAAAGTTAAGACAATCATTTAAAGAAACTTAATAAAAACATGTTTTTTCATTAAAAGGATAATTCATGGTTTTAAAGATAATTTTCTAAATATAGAAAAAATTACCACATAGAAATTATCAAAAATATTAAAAAAAAACATTTAGTATATTTTCTTGAGATTTACCAAATGTAGGCTACTGTTATATATCCATGTTATATAAATAGAAGTCTATATAAATGATAGCATGATATTCCACTGAGTGAATCATCATCATTGATTTAACAATCCCTTATTGGACATTTAGGTGGTTTTATTTTTCACTGTTGGTAATATTGTTGCCATAAACACCACCAGAAAAATAGTCTTTTCCACAGTTAGGACTATTTCTCTTTTGATTAGATTCTTAGAAGTGTGACCACCAGGTCAAAAATTATGAATACTTTAGCCCTGGCCGGTTTGGCTCAGCGATTAGAGTGTCAGCCTGCTTTCCAGAGGGACCCGGGTTCGGTTCCCGCTAAGGGCACGTACCTCGGTTGCAGTTTGTCCCTGGCCCTGGTTGGTCGTGCGGGTGGCAGCCACTCGATGTGTCCCTTTCACGTCGATGTTTCTCTCTCTCTCTCTCTGTTCCTCTCTCAACCTCCCACTCTACCTGAACAAAAAATGGAAAAATGTCTTCGGGTGAGGATAACAAAAAAAAAATTATGAATACTTTAAAAATTCTTGATACATATTACCAAAATAATTTCTGAAAGGACGAGGACCATGCACTTTATTACTACTAGCCTATAACAGAATACATTTCACTATGCTAGTCAAACTTCGCATTATTATTTTTTAGTTGTAATATATATGGTTGCACATTAAATTTAATAAACTTTTTTTTTTTTAATTTTACCTGATTTTTCAGCAGCATTTGATAAATTGGGCTAATCTCCCCCTTTGAAACACTTTCTTACTTGGCTCCCATGTCACCGCTCCCTCCTGCTCTACTGGACATCCGCAGAGCTGGGTCCTAGTACTTTCTCTTCTTAGGTGATCTGTCCAATCACGTGGCTCCAAGGAGCATCCAATTCCTATATAACTCCTCAAATTTATAGCCCAGATCCCAAATTTTATATCTAGTTCAAGATCCATGTATCTATTTAGATTCTTAACCTTGACTTTTGGTTGTCTTGCGAGCACTTCAAACCAATATGTCCACAACGGAACTGCTGCGAGACCGCCTCTAAAACCTGCGTTTATAAATATTCAATGAATGAATAAAGAAGAAAAAACCCACCCAGAGGAGCCATATACAGCTGTGAGAGGAGTGTTTCAGACAATGAACAACAGTACAAAGGCCCTGAGGTAGAAGAGGATTAAGACTGAGACACTGAAAGGAAGATCATGACTAGTGTGCTGTAAGTAAGGGGGAGACTAGTACAGGAAAAGTAGAGAAAAGATAGTCAGGGGCCACCTTGTGCTAAACACTGTAGATCTTGGAAAATAGTTTGGATTTTATTCTTAGTACAATGGGCAAATGTTGAAGTAATTTTAAAATATAATTTTAACCATATTATTTTGAAATAGTTTGACTCACAAGAAGTGAGTCAGCCTTCCTCAACAACAATAGCTTACATAATCTTAGTGCATTGTCAAAACCAAGAATTGATGTTGATACAACCCTATTAACTCAGGTACAGGCCTTATTAAGATTTCAACATTTTTTTTTACAGGCATTCCTCCTCCTCCTCCTCCTCCTCCTTCTCCTCTTTTCTTCTTCTTTTTTCTTCTCCTCCTCCTCCTCCTCCTCCTCCCCTTTCTCCTCTTTTCTTCTTTCTCCTTTTTTCTTCTCCTCCTTCTCTTCCCCTCCTCCTCCTTCTCTCCCTCCTCCTCCTTCTCCTTTCTTCTTCTTCATCTCCTCCTTCCTGTCTCCTCCTCCTCCTCTTCTTCTTCTTCTTCTTCTTCTTCTTCTTCTTCTTCTTCTTCTTCTTCTTCTCTCTTCCTCCTGCTCCTCCCCCTCCTCCTCCTCTTCCTCCTCTCCTCCACTTCTCCTCCTCCTCCTCTTCCTTTTCTCCCTCCTCCTCCTCCTCTTCCTCCTCCTCCTCCCCCTCCTCCTCCTCTTCTCCTCTCCTCCTCCTCCTTCTTGCATAATTCTGTGAAATTTCTATCAGATGTGTGTATTCATGTAACCATGACCACAATCATAGAACTGTTTCATCACTTTGTGTTAATCCTTAGTCAAAACGGCCCACCAACCCTAACTCCTGCAACCACTTATCTGTTTTCAGTTACTATAATTTTGTCATCTCCAAAATTTTATAGAAATGTAATCACACAGTATTTAACATTTTAAAATGACTTTCTAACTCAGCATCCATCCAAGTTGCTGGGTATATTAATAGTTCATTCGTTAAACATAAGACCTAAATTATAATATACTTAGAAGAAAACGGAATAAAACTTCATGACATTGAATTTGGCAATGAGTTCTTAGATATGACTCCACAGGCACAGGCGACAAAAGTAAAAATAGACAAATTAGGCTTCATCAAAATTAAAAGGTTTTGTTCATTAAAAGACACTATTGCCCCAACCAGGTAGCTCAGTTGGTGAAAGCATTGTCCTGATATGCCAAGGTTGGGGGTTTGATCCCCAGTCAAGTCACATATAAGAAGAAACTAATGAATGTATAAATAAGTGGGAAAATGACACTATCAACAAAATGAAAGAAAATCTTTGCAAATTACATATATTTAAGGGATTCATATACAGAATATATAGAGACCGCCTAAAATTCAACAACAACAAAACCCAATTAAACTAGGCAAAGGACTTGAATATCATGTCTCCAGAGATTATGCAAATAGCCAATACATAAGTACATGAAAAGATGCTCAACATCACTGATCATTAAGGAAATGCAGATCAAAACCACGATAGGTAGAGGGACCATTTTGCACTCATTAGAATATTATTAAAAAATAAAAAAAAGATGGCTTCGTGGGTGAATTTACCAAACATTTAAAGGAGAATGAATGCCAATTCTTCTCATAAGTCTTCTAAAAACTGAATTGAGGGAACACTCCCCAACTCATTTTATGAGGCCAGCATTACCCTGATACCAGTGCCAGAAAAGCAGACTACCAGGAAAGAAAACTACAGGCCAATATCCCTAATGAATATAGATATAAACATTGTCAACAACATATTAGCAAACCAAATTAAAAGAATCATACATAATGATCAAGTGCTATTTATCTCTGGGATGCATGTGTGGTACAACATACGCAAACCAATCAATGTGATACACATTAATAGAAAGACAGAAATCATCGGATGATCTCGATATAGTAAAAACATTTGACAAAATTCAACATTTGTAATAAAAACTCTTAGCGAATTAAGTATAGAAGGGACATACTACATCATAATAATGGCCATATATGACAAACCCACAGATAACATCATACTCAATAGTGAAAGATTGAAAACTTTTCCTGTAAGGTCAGGAACAAGACAAGATGCCCATTTTCACCACTCCTACTCAGCAATGAAAAAAAAAAAGGCATCCAAATAGAAAATGAAGAGTAAAATTGTCTCTGTAGATGACACGATTTTATATGTAGAAAATCCTAAAGACTCTACCAAAAAACTCATAGATCTGATAAATTCAGTAAAGTTGCTGGATACAAAATGTAACATACAAAAATCAGTAGTGTTTCTATACACTAACAAAGAATTATCTGAAAAAGAATTTCATTAACAATAGCATCAAAAACAATAAAATACTCAGGAATAAACCTAACTAAGGAGGTGAAAGGTCTCTACTCTAATAACTACAAGACATTGATGAAAGAAATTGAAGAAGATACAAATAAATGGAAAGGTATCCTGTGTGCATGGATTAGAAGATTTACTATTGTTAAAATGTCAATACTACCAAAAGCCATCTATAGATTCAATGCAATCATAATCAGTATGGCATTTTTTTTTTTTCAGTAGAAGAAACAATCCTAAAATGTATATGGAACCATAAACTACCCCAAATAGCCAAAGAAATAAGAGGAAAAAAGAGGCAGGCATCACTCTTTCTGATTTCAAGCTATAATGTAGGTAGGGTTGGGTGAAATGGAGACATGTTGGTCAAAGGGACAAACTTTTATTTATAAGATGAATAATAGTTCTGGGGATCTAATGTGTAGCATGGTTAGTATAGTTAACAATACTGTATTACCCAGTCAGGGCATGAATTAAACAATTGAAAGTTGCTAAGAAAGTAAATCTCAATTGATTTTACCACAAAAAAGAAGTAATTATGTAAGGTGATGGAGGTGTTAAAAGTGTTACTGTGGTAATCATTTCACAATATATAATCAAGTTATCACGTGAATACCTTAAACTTACACAATCACTTAGATATCAATAAAGCTGAAAAGAGAAACCAACATTTGTTCAAAACAAAACAAAAGTCATCAACAGGAGAATGGAGGAAAGTTTTGTGGAATGTTGAAACAATGGAATATCATATAGCAATGAAAATGAATGAACTATAGGTATATGTATACACAACATAGACAAATCTTATATCATGTTGACCCCTCTCCCAAGGCAATATGCATCATGTATATAAAACATGATTTTATTTATATAAAGTATAAAAACAAAACAAAACACAAAACCCACTAAATTGCACTGTTTAGGAATCATATGGTAAACTAAAAAGAAAAGCAGAGCAATTATCACCATAACATTCAGCAGAATGCTCACTTCTGTGGGAAGGGAAGGACAAATGTCCACACAAGCACCTCTAGAGTGGAGGGGAAAAGTGTGTTTACACAGGTGACACACAAGGAAACCTTTTGTACTATAGTTATTGTTATATTTCTTGATAGTGGCTATATGACCATTTACTTTTTTACTCATTAAACTGGATACTTAGTGGTTTTTGCTTTTTCTTTATCATATAATTCACAGTTAAAGTGGTAATTCAAGGGGAAAAAAACCTGAAATAAAATAAAACTCTGAACCTTTTAATATTTTTTGATCAAATTACAAATAAGTTTCATGTACCACATCCCTGAACTGTACCATACCTCTGGTCTTCTTTTTCAGGGGTGGGTGTTGGGAACAGAGTAAGGTTTAGAGGGGGAGTTATTTTGATGAGAGACAGAGGTGAGTTGAGGTTTAAAGATGAAATAAAATACAGAGATGTGTTAAAAATTAGGGATTATTTTGTTCAGTCAGGTATAGTTAAAGAAGAGAATGAAGAATGAAGAGTCAGGGAATAGAGTTAGGATCTGGGTGTCTGTTAGGTACATTACACGTTGGCGGATGAAAACCCAAACAGATAATTTACATTTTGCCAGAACTATTTTGTTGATGATTTATCAAAATTGTAGCATTAAAATAATTCCCTTGAACTACTCTTGTGAAAACATCCTGATTTGATCATGGCAGGCATCTTGAAGGCAATGATACCTGATCTGAGACCTAAAGCATGAGTAAAGAAGAGAGGGAACGAGCAATTGCTATAGAGGAAACACCATAAGCAAAGACACAAATGCACAGATCAACAGGGGCAGAGAAGAGTAGCCAAGAGAGAATATCCAGGGCTTCGTGTGCCATGTTAACAGTCTAAGAGTTGAGAGTTCATGCTGTTTGTCATAAGAGAGAGCCATGGAGAGATTTTAAGGAAATTACATGGTCATGAATAAACACGGAAATTTAAAAAAGCAGAAAAGCAAATTATTAGGTATGCATGGACCAAATACGGTTAAAATGTGCATATGTTCATTTAAGATTATAAATTACTTAACAGCCATGCTTAAAGTATTTAATTATCATTAATTAATTTTATTTCCTCTACAGTTGATTGCCAAATAAAACAGTCAATTTATTGTCATTCTGATTTATCAGTCCACCTCTTGTGAGTCTGATTACCGTGAGTTATGATAACATGCTGTTAAAAAATCAGACAGATCTTGACTCATTAATATGTAAACAGCCCCATAAGAAACTAAAATTGCTCATTTTATATTTTTCTTCAATTAATTTTACTTGTGGCTGAAGGCATAAAAATCTTAAAAGAGGTAAATTTGTAACAAAGAAAAGGCTTGTGTATTCACCGCGTTGCACTGTTAGGAAATTCATTAGTCTTGAAGTGGTAAAGGGTTCAATAAGGGACTGGACAGATTTTTGAAAGATGACTTCAAGACAGATGCTCAAGGAACACCTATAAAGCACTTTAAAGGTCAGCCTCTTTATGAATAATGAGGTTCATAGAAAATGCAAAAAATGCTCAGAAAAGGATTATAAAGAAAAATTTATAATTGTAGAACTTGAGCACAAATTCAAAACCACTATAATGACTAAACTCAACTTAATGGATAATCTAAATGTATGTAGTTAGTTCTAGGCCACTTAAAATAAATGATTCATAGCCCTTAAAAAAGAAGCATAGCATATTATTTTATCTATGCTAATGTTTCCACCTACTAGTGATGGTTTAGTTGTATTCCATAGCAACTCATTTGGGCTGGCATGTTCTGGATCATATATCCATATGATAACCTACAAAATAAAATGTTGGCATTTCTTTAAATTTTGCACAAATTTCATTTCTAGTTGTGGCAAAACATAACCATAAAAATGAAATCACACTACACAGGTTATTGGTAACTTGCTTTTGTCACATGATACACCATGGGCATTTCATTAGACATAGATCGAATCCTTTTCTTTCTTGTTTATTTTTTTTCTTGAATAGACAATTTATTCACATAGTTAAAACAAATATTAAAAATAATGAAAATTATCTCCCACCCTGTACTTCATCACTCATTTCCCATAAGTACACCCTACAAGTAACTACTCTTCCTCTCTCTCCCTCCCACTCTACCTGAACAAAAACTGGAAAAATGTCCTCAGGTGAGGATTAAAAAAAATATATAGACACATGGGCTCATTGATCCAATATAGGAAGTTTATTATTATTATTTAAAAATATATTTTATTGATTTTTTTAGAGAGAGAGGAAGAGAGAGAGAGATAGAAACATCGATGTAAGAGAGAAACATCAATTGGCTGCCTCCAGTGAGTGCCCTGACCAGGAGTTGAATCAGCAACCTCCTGGTCCATGGGACGATACTCAATCCACTGAGCCACACTGGCGGGCTATTTATTATTTTTTTTACTGCATCTTTTTCTAGTAAATTACTGCTTTTAGAAAATAATATCTATAGAGCTTTAATTTCCAAATAATATCACCTGATTTCAATTTTTAAAACTTTATATATCTCTCTCTATCATATTTCTGATCATCCTCTAATCCATATGTTAAAGACCTTGAAATTCAAGACCTGTTTATTGTCTTAAAAATTACTGAGTGTTCTGCCCAGCCTGTGTGGCTCAGTGGTTGAGCTTCGACCCATGCACCAAGAGGTCACCAGTTCGATTCCGGGTCAGGGCATATACCCAGGTTGTGGGCCCGATCCCCAGTGAGGGGCAGGCAGAGGCGGCCAATCGATGTTCTCTGTCATCATTTCTCTCTCTCTCCCTCCCCCTCCCTCTCTCTCTAACATCATAAAGAAAAAAAATTTTTCTAATTACTGAGAATTCCATAGAGCTTTTGTTTTATATGGGTTAGATCTATCAATATTTACCATATAACAAATTAAAATTGAGAACATTTAAAGATCTTTATTAATTTATTTAAAAAACTACAATAAACCCATTACTTGCTAACATAGCCAACATATTTTTTATGAAAAAAAAATTATTTTCCAAACAAAAAAATAGAAGAATGGTTGTTTTACATTTTACATTACAAAATCTTTTAAATATCTGGATTAATAGGATAGCTGGATTATTACCTGTGTTCCTGCCTTCAAGGTGTTGGTGTATGTTGTTTGGTGGAAGTATAGAGGGAGAATCTACCCTCGCACAGATATGAGGGTGGAAAGGGTAGACCTCATGGACATCCTGAGAAGTCTGTGGAGGCCTGCTCTAAAAGTCCTCAAACCATTCATTGAACACCACTGCTCTGAACAAATTTTGTTGAAAAATTAGTTTGGAAAATTCCTCTTCTGGTAAGTATGGAAGATAAGAGGGAAATAATACAGTAGTGATCTATGAAGGATATACAAAACTTTAAAAACTGTTTTACCTGGATAAAATTTGGAGAGATATTTCTGTTGGGAAAAAGAAGAATCATATTTTAGTAAACATGTTAAATATTAGTTTGAATACTTCCAATATACATGTCTCTAAATCTTGTAATATCCCCTTTACATTCTATTAGAGATAAATTATTATATGCTAAATGTGAAGAAGCTACATATGGCGCTGGATGAGTAGCTCAGTTAGTTAGAGCGTTGTCCCAATATGCCAAGGTCGTATCCCTGATCAGGGCACACACAAGAAACAGCCCAAAGACACAGACAATAGTGTGGTGATGGCCAGAGGGAAGGAGGGCGCTAAGTAAAGGTGGGCAAAGGGTAAAATAGGGGCATCTGTAATAGTGTCAACAATAAAAATAAAGTAAAAAAAATAAAGAACCAATGAATGCATAAATAAATGGAACAACAAATTGAAGTTTCTCTCTTTCTCTAAAAAAAGCTACATATTGCCCTGGCCGGTTTGGCTCAGCAGTTAGAGTGTCGGCCTGCGGTCCGAGAGACCCGGGTTCGGTTCCCACTAAGGGGATGTACCTCGGTTGCAGTTTGTCCCCGGCCCTGGTTGGGTTGTGTGGGTGTCAGCCACTCGATGTGTCCCTTTCATGTTGATGTTTCTCTCTCTCTCTCTCTCTCTCTCTCTCTTTCTCTCTCTCCCTCCCACTCTATCTGAACAAAAAATAGGAAAATGTCCTCAGGTGAGGATAAAAAAAAAAAGCTACATATGTATATAATTAAATATAATGATGCTCATGCGTCATCACAGAAGGCCGAGGGGCTTGGATCTTCATACTTCCTTAACAACACTAGGTTCACATAGCCAAAGATGCATGAAGATAGCCAAAGATGCATGATTAATCTTCTTTAAAAATATGACATCATAATTCCACACCCACAACAATAGGAAAGTTCAACAAAGCTGAAAGATGGTTCTCTGAAAAGACTAATAAGATGAAAACACCCTCAGGAAGAAGAACAGGAAACAGAAGGGAGACACAAATAAAAATGTTAGAAAAGGTAAAACAGGCATACCTACAACTACCTCAGAAATTAAACAAATATAAGAAGACATTATAGACAACCTTACGACACTGAAATTTATACTAAAGTCGCTAACTGAAGACCTGGATAAATTCCCAGAAAAATACTATTGACGAAAGTGGATTTTATAAGAATTCGAATTCCAAACTAGCACAATAACCATTAAATAAATTAAGTTAGGAACTCTTCCTGACCCTTCCCCCCCACAAAACAATCCAGATTCAAGTGGATTTCTATGCAAGTTTCCATCAAATACTTAAGGAATATATATTTCCAATATTACACAAAATCTCTCAGAGGAAAGAAGAAAAATGACTATTAACTTACATGATGAGTCTAGAATAGTCTAGAAAAGATGGTATAAGAGGAGTAAAATCACAGGCCAATCCCACTCATGAATATTCACACACACACACACACACACACACACACTACTAAACAAAATATTAGCAAATAAAATCCATCAACGTACATGAAAGATAATTCATCAACACCACGTTGGATTTTCTAGAGATACAAGGTCAATTTAAAATAGAAATATTGATGACTCTTACTCACCAGATTAACATAGTAAAGGAGAAAAGCCATATGAACTTTTAAGTGGAAGCAGAAAAAAACTTTAAATAAATTTCAATTCATAAGAAAAATTCACCGCCAACTTGGAATAAAGGGAAACTTCCTTAACTGGGTAAAAGTTAACTTGTAACCTGTAACAAGTATTAGGCAAAATAGCGATTGATGACAGCCTCCCTTTAAGATCAGAAAGAAGCCTGGCCGGTGTGGCTCCGTGGTTGAGCATTGACCCATGCACCAAGAGGTCGCCGGTTCCACCCTTGGTCAGGGCACATGCCCAGGTCATTAGCCAAATCCTCAGGGGCGCATGCAGGAGGGGGCCGATCGATGTTTTCTCTCATCAATGTTTCTCTCTTCCTCTCCCTTTCTCTCTCTGGAATCAATAAAGAAAAAAATTTTTTTTTAAAGATCAGAAAGAAGACAAGGAGGCCCGCTATAATCGTTCTGGGAAACACTGTGTTCCCATGCAGTAAGAATAAAAGGAATCAAAGGCATACTTCCTGGAAAAAAATAAACATTATTTTCAGGTGATATGATTTGTAAAAATTCTAAGAGAATATATAAATAAATTATTAGAATTAATATAAGAATTTTGCAAGGTTGTGCAATATAAAAATCAATGTTCAAAAGTAAACTGGATTATATACAATAGGAAGTTCTGGTTAGAAACTATAATCTTAACAATTTGACTATTTAAAAAAAGATGTTTCTATTAATTAGAGAGAGAGGAAGGGAGAGTAGAAACATCAATCGGCTACCTCCTGCACGCCCCCCAATGCGGACTGAGCCAGCGACTGAGGCATGTGCTCTGACCAGGAATTGAATGGAGACCTCTTAGTCCATGGGACAATGCTCAATCCACTGAGCCACACTGGCTGGGCAAAATTTGACTATTTATAATACCAACAAAAATATAAAGTACCTATAAATAAGTCTAATAAAAATGTCCAGGCACCTGTATGAAAAATTACAAAATTTTATTGGAAGACATGTTAAAGGACCTAAATAATGGAGGATTGTGTACTATTCTTGAGTAGAAAGACTCTCCAAATTGATTACAATATTTAGAGAGATTATATAAATCCCTGCCATGGTTTTTGTGGAATTTAACAAACCAATTCCAAAAATTCACAGGGAAGAAAAATAGGCCCAAGACATAGGCAAGAGAATCTTGAAGAAGGATAAGAGCTGGGGTCAGAATGTGATGGGTGCTTCAACTACCACTTATCGAGATTTTAAAATAGATCAGCTGAACTGAATAGCCAGCTTGGAAGGAAACAAACCCTTGCAGAAATGGAAAACTGACCTATGATAGAACAGGCATTGCAGGTAAATAGATTATTCAATAAATGGATATAAAAAATCAATTATTCATCTAGAAAAAATAAAATTGGATCCCTAGAAGCATGTACAAAAACTAATTCCAGTAGATTGAGGACTTAATTGTGGAAGGCAAAACTGTATTGAACTTTTAGAAAAAAATAGGAGACAATTTTTATAAACTTGCAGGTAGGGGAAGTTTCATTAAATAGATTTAAAAAGGCATAAACCCATAAAGGAAAGGGTTTATAAATGCATCTACCACAGTAAGGACCTCTTTTATCAATAGAGATAATAAAAAGTGAAAAGCTGCACAGAGTGGGATAAAATACTTTCAAAAATACATATGGTAATGTCCTAGTGATTAAAATATAATACAACGATTTTATTTATAAAAATAACCAAAATGGGTAAAATGCTCATTTAATAGAGAGCGAAGAAACATTCCTCATGATACATGAAAATATACTCACTAGTAATCAGGGAAATGTAAATAAAAAGCACAATGACATAATTTCACACCTACTCAACTGGAAAAATTAAAAAGTCAGATAATACTAAGTGTTCATTAAGATGGAGCACAGTGGGGACTTTTGTTCATTTCTAGTGTTAGATGTAAAATTTGGATAATCTTTTCAAAAATCACTGAGGCGTTACCTAATAAAGTTGAACAAGTACATATCCTAATTTTAGGCAATTCTACTTTTAGGTGTATATCTTAGAGAAACTTTCATTTCTGTGCATTAGATCAGTGCTTCCTAAACAGTTATGTACATACAAATAACTTGAGGATCTTATTAAAATGCAGGTTAGGATCCAGTAGGTCTGGAATGAAGCCTGAGATTCTGTATTTTTAACTAGTTCCCAGGAGGTGCAAATGCTGCTGGCCCTTGGACCACACTTTGAGTAGCAACGGCTCCAAGTCGCCAATAAATGCTTTGGCAGCAGAATGAGCAAAACACTCATACAATGGAGTACCACTGAGCATTCACAATGCAAGAACTAACGATTCCTGTTTGAACATGGATGCGTCTCAAAAGCATAATGTTTAGAGAAAGAAGCAAGTCACAGATAAATACATGATTCTATTTAAATAACATTCAAAAACTGAGAATACAAATCAATTTCTTGCAGTCAGATATTGTTAAACTATAAAAAAGCAAGGAACCACTTATTATACGATATTCAGGGTAGTGGTTAACTCTTGGGGGATGAATAGGATGTGATCAGTATGAACATAAAGCATAGTCTTAAGGTACTGGTAATGGATTGGATTACCGGTGTGATGGATTCATGGGTATTAGTTTCATTCTTATTCTAAATGGTGTTTATATAGGTGATAGATTGTGGAATTAGTTTCATTCTTATTCTAAATGGTGTTTTTATAGGTGATAGATTGTGGACATTTTATAACCTATGTAACAGAAAACACTTAGCTCCCCATGGGTTCTCTCTTTTGGGCTAGTCTGTCCCCCTTGGCAGGTGCTTCTTCTGTTTTCCCTTCTAAGTTATATTCATTCACCCTCATGTTACAATGAGTTTGAAGAGCTATCCAAGACAGAGTCCTTTTGGAATATAATGTATATAACAGAAATAAAGATTCTAAAGTTAAAAATAAGCTGATTAGAATATAAAATAAATAAAATTTTAAAATGTCAATAAAATATAAAGTATCTAAAGCAAAAAAAAAAGGAGTCTGAAAAAAACAGAATCAAATCCCAATGCTATCTTTTAGTGGCTGTGTATTTCTGTCCAAATTATTTATATCCAAGCTTACATTTCCACATTTATAAAGATAATAATACTTATATTTGTGAGGTTATTGTGACAAATTGAGGGAGATAATTTACATAAAGTGGAAACAGTATATGTTCAACTAGTGGTTGCTATAGTTATTTTTATTTTTTATTCTTCAATATAAGTTTGGCAGTATATTTGAGGCTATCTTGATTGGTGAATGAAAGCTTATATGGAAACTATAATTTAGATAACCCATTTGTTAATTTTGATAATTAAAACTTAAAGCTAAATATTCTTAAAAAGTATTTATAACCTTTGTATTCAAGATTGGATTACTTACATAATTTTATAATACCACATAAAGCAAATATTAGAACTGGCCACATATAAATAGCGTTCTTCTTCTAAATCCTAAAAGACAGTGCAAAAGAAACTATGATATATAAAGTTAACTTTAAACTAAATACAAATTTAGATAAAGGTATCTAAGTCAGAGAGGAATTAAGTTAATTATCTAAGATTAGAGAAAGTATGAATACATTTCAGAATAGGACTAATAAATATTCATATAATACTAATTCAATTCTTTAGTTACTCTCTGTAATTAAGAATTTACTATCATAGGTGACAAATTTAGATGGCTTATTGTTTCTATTATATTTGACTTTGTGAAATAATAAGAAATATATGTCTTTGCTCCCAGTTCCTGAGACTTTGACCATGATTCCTGACACAGAGCTCCTAAAACTCTTGTAAGTTCCTGAGTGACAGGAGAGTCTGACATAGAGCTCCTACCATTTTCCTTACTGAAATACAATTCAGTTAACTTTCTAATCTAATGGTTATCAACCAGAGGTGATTTTGCTCACCAGGGGACATTTGGCAATGCCTGGAGATGTTTTTGATTGTCATAACTGAGTGCTTTTGAGTGAATTTCAAAAGCCACATTCCCTTCTTAAAGATTGTAAGATCTGATGATACTACATAAATGACAGGTAATCCTGTATATGCATGTACTTGCGTGTTCTTATTTTTTTTACATAACATGTGTTGTAATGTTTCTGTGGGCGTCCAACATACCATAAAAGGGGAAGGAATCCTTTACTTTCTCAGGAATTGTGTTCATGAAACTTCAAACATTCATAAACTCAAAACGCCAAATTCAAATATTTTTAATAGGGGTTAAAAATGAATTAATATCCATCTGACCTCTCCCACGTCACTCTATCTACTTGATTCCTGAAAATAAAGATTATTAATTTAAAAGAAGGCATAAGCCCCAAAGTAAAGGCAGGATTTGTCACCCAGAGTCTCTGTAGCAGTAGCTTTACATAACTGTGTGGAAACTTCAGCTGTGAGGTGTGGAGCCAATACTTTGTTATTGACAGTAATTTATCAATACCTCTTATGTATAGTTACAACTTATACTATTTAAAACAGGTTAAATTAGGTTGAAAGCTAAAAAAAAAAAAAAAAGGCAAAATAAAGTGTAGCATGGATGATTATTCAAGTTTAATGAGTTATCATTAAAATCAACTTACTGGGCCTGTAACAATTGGTTTTATATTCTGAAAACCAGGAGAAGAACAATGCATTTCTGTCCTGGGCGATCTAGTATTTAAAGAGAACAAGAAAGGAGAAATAAGTAAAGATGCATATGAGATTAATAAAAATTGTCCTGCTAGTCTTTAAACCTAAAAACTTAAATTGTATGCTAATAATAAAAATTAAAATGTAGCAATTTGACTTCTATTTTCAAAGTGATTTTATTTTTCTTTTCACATCTATTTAATAGGAAAACATTTACATGAAATCACAGCCTTGAGTCTGAATGTCCACACTATATAAATGCTTTGTTATGTGTAAGCACACAGACATTGACATTCACGACAAACATGTTACCTTTTATTTTTCACAGAACAAGTTTTTGGCACCTTCCACTCAGAAAACAACGTTCCTTCATATTCTAACTTAATCTGAAAAATAAGATAAAATAGTTCAAACAAAAATTTTGCTCCAAAATTTTCATTTCATTGTTCAGATCTGGGTCCTTATTATTTAAAGAAAGAATAATTAAAATTTGACTTGTTTGAAATTATACAAAGTAATACAACAAAGGAAACTTTTCTGGGATACTACAGTAGTCTCCTCACAAAATTATAAGATCTAAAATTTTTTTTATTTCAAAAATAATATATTAAGTATCTAGGAGATGACTGGTACTCTAGTAGGCTCTGAGGATAAAAAAAAAAAGATAAATGAGAAATGGTCATCCTTTCTGTATCATGACATGATTTTTGAATATTAAATCACAAAATACTCAAACCAACACTACTGATTTTTGCTACTTATATATTTAAGGACTATTACTGGAGAGGGGGATATATATTAGGACAATAAATGAAAGGAAGAATATGAAATAAAAATAAAAGAATGACACTGTGCTATACAGCTGAGCATGATTAACTCTGCCCTCTGCCCTAAGGTTAAAAAAAAAATGAATACTGAAATATAGTTTTAAATAATTAAGTACTTACAGTACTTCTGGTACTAAAAATAAGGTAGTTTTTGGTGTTAGTGGAATATCTGTGGAGGAAAAGTTCAAATATGAATATTAAAGCTAATTTCTCCTACAAAGAAGAGTGATTCTATGCATGGTCAGAGCACATCTGGGCTGCCAAGAGATTTACATTTCTGCCCAAGCATCTTCCCGGAGAGCATAGTCAGAGCTAAAACCGAGGATTATCCCTGAACTATACTCACTACCCAAGGGGTGTTAGGGTTTGCTCAGTATCTGAAGACATTAGAATGAAAAGTACAGATGCTCCTAGATTTACGATGGGATTATGTCTCAATAAACCCACTGTATGTTGAAAATACTGTTAATTCACGCCCTGGCCAGTTTGGCTCAGCGGTTGGAGCGTCGGCCTGCGGTACAGAGAGACCCAGGTTCGGTTCCCGCTAAGGGCATGTACCTTGGTTGCAGTTTGTCCCGGGCCCTGGTTGGTCGTGCGGGTGGCAGCCACTCGATGTGTCCCTTTCACATCGATGTTTCTCTCTCTCTCTTCCTCTCTCTCCCTCCTGCTCTATCTGAACAAAAAATGGAAAAATGTCCTCAAGTGAGGATAAAAATAAATAAATAAATAAAATACTGTTAATTCAAAAATGCATTTAATGCACCTAACCTACTTATCATCACAGGTCAGCCTAGCCTACCTTAAACATGCTCAGCACACTGACATTAGCCTACCATTGGGCAAAATCATCTAACATAAAGCCCGTTTTATGATAAAGTATTGGACAACTCATGTAGTTTACTAGGCATATAGCTTTCGCAAGACCATGAAGTTGAAAAATTGTTAAGTGGAACCATGGTATGTCAGGGACTGTCTGTAAATACTTTTATATCTTGCCTTTGTTTTAGGATGGAAACTGTTGAAGAATATTGACTGTATTTCCTTCACTTATAAACTGAGTTTTAAAAAATTTATAAAGATTAGAAACTCATAAAAACAGTATTGCTTGCTTTTTTTTTCTTTGTTGATTTTAGAGAGAGAGAGAGAGAGAGAAAGGAAGAGGGAGAGAGAGATAGAAACATCAATGAGAGAGAACATCATCTGTCTGCTTCCTGCATGTCCCCCACTGGGGAACTGGCCCACAACCTGGGCACGTGCCCTGACCGGGAATGGAACCCCAACCTCTTAGTGCACGGGTCCATGCTCAACCACTGAGCTACACTGGCTGGGCAACAGTATTGCTTGTTTGAAACACTGAAGAGCAAATTTCTGTGAGCTCTTATTATCACTTTTCTCTATTATTAGGGTACTGAGACCCGACACAGAGACAAAGCTCCAACCAACTGAGCCACACCAGCCAGCGCTAAAAATATTTTGATACACTTCATTCAACCACCAACTACCTAGTTATCCTAGTGAAGTATCCCCAACCCTCCCAATCCCCAATCTCTGGTGCCAGTTTTTGGGTTCTCATTGGTCCTCTCCTCTCTGGCAAAAGCAGAGTGTAGTAGGAGGAAACGAGTTTAAGGAGTCAGAGGACAGCGATGTGAAATCACCAGGACTGGAGCAGCAAAGTCCTAACAGCGTGCCCTCATTTTCCGCCTTCATTCATTGAAAACTTTCGGAAGGGGACGGCGGGGTGCTGGGGCTGGGATGTTCCGGGAACTGGGGGGCGAGACAGTGGTCTGCACAGGCGGGTGGTCCGGGGACACTGAGGCCCTGGGATGGGGACCCCTGCTCGGCCCCAGGGGCGACCCTGCCCGGTGCCCCTGTCCACCACTGGCGTCTCTACCTCCACAGAGCCCAGCCGCAGCAGCTCAGCCAGGACAGCAGCACTGCCACTCCCTGGGCTGACATGGCGCCGGGACCCTCTGCTCAACCGCCCTGGCCTCGCGATCCCCCGGGGGAGGGGGCGGGGCCAGCGGAGCCCGAGGCGGGAGGTGCTGGGGGACTCAGCGCTACAGCCGGGAGTCAGGCACTTCAGCCAACCTGGGGAAGTGCGCGTGCGCCTGCCTGTCAACTCTCTGGGCGCCTGGAAGTGGGATGCTGGAGTCGAAAATCAACACCAGATTTTAGGAAAGGCAGAACCATGCTTTTTTGGAGTGGAATAGCAAAACCACTTAGGAAAATCCGAGTTGACTGAATGAAGGTAAAACTAACTTTTAGGTTAGTGTATCTTTTAGCCCGAATCTTCCTTGTGACTGTATATGACCACTGCAATAACAAATACGTATCTGGCAATGCATAACAGGCGCAGGCACTCCATAAATGACTTCAAAATTGAACAGAAATGAACAGCGACAGGTGCTTATTGAGCACCTACTTACTGTATGCCCAACTTACTGTATGTTTCGTGCATTTGAGTACAAAGAAAAAGGACAGCATTCTAGTTTACAAAGGGGTTTGTAATCTTGTGGTAAAGCCAAGATAAATACCAAAGTTATAACGTAGTATTATAATTTATCTCTTTACTTGTCGGTAGACTAAATAGTCTGAATCCTGAAGGGCTGCAATTGTACCTTTATTTATCCTTATGTCATCAGTGCCCAGCACAATCTTAGTTTGTAGTAGGTTCTCAGTGTTTACTGACAATGAATCATTGAATAAAAATAATAAAATATGCTCTCGGACCATTAGAGAACATCATGTATATATATGATTTGGGAGACACTAATAAAATATATTATATATTTCACTATTATTTTCTTTCTCTCTCTTTTTCTGGTTATTTGGAGACACTACATTTACTGCGATTCTATGGCCACTTTTTCCCCCTAAAGCAACTTTAAATCAGAATTATATGTTATAGTTAATTTGTGTTGCTGTTGGAAGAACATAGACCAGCATTAGGTATATTCCAGAATCTAGCCGTACTGAAACACTAACAGGAGTGGAATATACATACAAGGGCTAGGCTGTGGACTCAGACTGCCTAGATAGCAATTAAGCCCTTGCTAGAACAATTTAACTTTTAAATCCTGTAAAATAAAGATAAGATAACATTACTTATATTATTATAGGAATTAAAGGAGCTAAGTGCATCATAGTAGCTGGCATATACTGTTCGACATCGATAATACACTCCTCCTCGAGCCTCTCTTACTAAAGCGTAAAATGAGAAGAGTTAGGACTATACTTGATCTCCAGATTTTCAGGTCTAATATCCTCTGCCTTATTGCTTTACTTTTGAGTTAGCTCTTTTCAACCCCTATCCCCATCTCTATTCTTCTACTCCTTTACGTTCCAATTCGAAACCGGTACGTTCCGATTAGACCCCATTTGTATTATGAAATTCCATCCTTTGTATTTTGTGCACAATCTCATCCCTTAATAAAAACAAAGCAGTAAAAAATATTTTTTTCCCACTGTGCAACCAACTTGAGTGCCTGCAGCCTATGGGCAGAGGCCAGGCAAAGGTTCAAGGCCACAGTTTGCTCTGGCATGAGGCACTATGAGAAACCCCAGGGGATGGGCCTGCCATGAATCCAAACCCATGCATTAAAAAATAGTTTTTAATTGAACGCTTTCCGAGATTGAAACCTGCATATGCACACACCATCGTAGCAGATTACATGATTATAGTTTAGACCGTTGCATGCCGGGAGTTGTAGTCGGACGCTGGAACTCGCATCTCTGTGCCTCTCCAGTTTGAAAAGCAGGAGGAAGGAAGGATAGGCGGGGCGTGGAGCTGCAGCAGGCCCAAAGCCCCGCCCCTACCCCTTCCGCTCTCGGGGTTCGCCCTGGAGTGGCGCGCCAGGCCGCGGAAGGGGCGTGGCCTCGGCCTGGGGTGGCGGCGGTTGCGGCCGCCAGGGCCTCTTCCTGCGGGCGGTGCTGCCCAGGCCGGCCTGCGCGGGGCAGTCACGGTCCCGCCTTGAGCTGTGGCGGGGGCGGGGGCGGGGGCGGGGCGGGCCTGGCTGGAGGGCGGTGGCCCCGCGGGGGCGGGGGGCGGAGCCGGCTCTGGCTCCTTCTTTCTCTGCATGTGGCTATCGGCGGCAGAGCAGTTCCGTTCGCGCACTCCTCGCTGCCCGCGTCGCCTCCGGGTCCTCCTCGCGTCACTGGAGCCATGGCGCTGGCCGAGACCAACCCGGCGGCATCCTCCCTGCCCAACGGCGACTGCGGCCGCCCCAGGGCGCGGCCCGGAGGGAACCGGGTGACGGTGGTGCTCGGCGCGCAGTGGGGCGACGAAGGCAAGGGGAAGGTGGTGGATCTGCTCGCGCAGGACGCCGACATCGTGTGCCGCTGCCAGGTGAGGCGACCCGGCTCCGACGGAGGCCGGGCCCAGAACCCGGGTCCTCGGTCCAAAACGAGGTGTCACCTTGAGCTTCTCTCCTCTTGCTTGAGCTGCGGCGACGTGGAGAAATGGCGGGAGGTCAGAGACCCCTGACCCGGGCTCTTGGGTTGCGGGGCTGGGGAGGCTGTGGAGGGAAATGCGGGCTGACCCGGAGACTTGGAGAGATGCGCGATGCCTGGGGAGTCGCCGTTTTCCGTCTGGGGACCAGAGCTCAGCCCCAGGACTGGGGCCGGCGTGGGGATGGATGTGGTCTGAGTTTGAGGAGCTACCGCCCGAGGCCTGCTCCTGACTCCCGGCGGAGACCAAGCCGGCGGCATCCTCCTTCCCATCACCCACTCACCCACTCGGGAAGCAAGTGGGAGCGGATTGTTCCCCAACGCCCTGAAATCCAGACTCACCATTGCCCCCACCTGCAGGCCTGGAGCTCGCTGATCTTTGCCTCCTCCCGTCCACTTTGTTGACATGAGAACCCACCTCTGGGCTTTGGACTGTTTAATGGCCCCGTTGTTTTACTCCTTACCCTGTATATTAATATTAAGGGGAGATTATTTTTACTTGTTGGTCCCAGAGGACAGAATCCCAGTTCTTTTACCAGTGAGACACGTAAATACAAGGATGTCAAAACTGGTATTTAGAAATATTTACATTGTTACGCTAACATTGAAAGTGAACTTTCTGGAAATAGAATGGTAACGTACTTCCTACTGAGAGACACGTGGTTTTCAGTGTGAGCTTTCTTCCTATTTGTTTGCTTAGAAGCAGCCTAGAGGCTAGGCTTTTGTAAAGGCTCTTAGATAACTATACCACTTTCAAAATTCTAAAGAGTTGAGCAATAACCAGTTTCAAACCAAATTGTGATGTAATATTTGAAGTTAACTGCTGTCTCTTTAGTTTACAGACTGTTTCTTCTTTGTGAACATACATGGCACAATATGATTATGCCATGTTGTATGTGTTCTAACAAGTTAATAGGTCCACTTGATTGGGAGCTTTCTACCTAAAATTGAATAAATTCCATTTGAGCATGCAGAAACAAGGTAGTAAAAAGCTAAATATAATTATTCTAAATTATTTTGGGTTTTTTTGTTTGCTTGCCTTTTTTTTTTTTTTTTGCATGCAGAGAACTCCACCCTGCCCATTCCTTAGCTAAGATAGTTGTCCAATGGGCTCTTGGTATTACCACTGTCACCTCTTCCTTCATTCCAACCTTCTGTTCCTCCAGCCCTCTAGCAACACACCTATCTTACTTAATAACACTCCTAAAGGTTCTGGCATTGAACTGCTGCCCCACATTGCTTTGGAGCTGCTCCAGAAGCCCAGCCTTCACTTCCTTTTGTCTTCAAATCAGGATCTGGCTATGCTGTTGGGAAAGAAGTATGAGACTACATGATTTGCTGGGTAGGAGGGGAGAGAAGCTGAGGGCCTGAGGGCCTGTTTGTCTCCTTCACTCTCACCTCTGACCATCTTTCTTATCTGGAAATGGTAGTACTCAGGTTGAGCTACATTATGTAGCTTGTAAGAAGGTTTTAAAATGTTATCATGGTAACATTTATTAGAGAAGATCTTCAATTTTAACATCCCTTTGAAAAATAGCAGAATTAGTTTGTAGACTGGAGATAATTGCTGTTTCTGTGAAAACAGTCTTGAAGGAGGTCATGGACCAATCTGCTCTGATGCCCTTGGAAAATCTAGAGAGAAGTGATTGAGAAGGAGCCAAGTTTGGCTTTAAAATGTTAGCTGAAGATAGAGGAGAAGCAGATAAACGGATTTGTTAGGCAGGTTTTCCTCACTTGTAAACTTTTGACTTACTACTTTCCTTCTATAATTCTAAAATCTCTATTTTCCTTCAGTGTCTTTTAAGAGCTCATATTTTGAGCTTGAATTGCCTTGTTTGATGATTCAAGTTTTGTGTATTATTGAAAATATGTACTTTGTTAGAATTTAATATTTTTTGTGATAATCATCCCATAAACTCAACTTTTATACAGATTGTTTCTCCAGAAGTGATATGTATATAATGTATCCTTGTTACAACAATGCAATCATAAAATAAGACATTTCTTCCAATATAAAATATGTTTGTTAAAAAAAAAATGTATTTTTTTCTTTTTGGAAAGAATAAATGCAAAGCCATTTATGAAGGCATTTTCATCATCATAGCACTTAAGGCCTATATTTCAGATGCAGGATTTGTAGGGAATTATTTATAACTTGGTAGATACTCTAGATATATATGCACCCCTATGTTCATTGCAACATTGTTCACAGTGGCCAAGATGCGGAGACAACCAAAGTGTCCTTCGCTAGAGGGTTGGATGAAAAAGATGTGGTACATATTTACTGCGGAATACTACTCAGCCATAAGAAAGGATGAAATCCAGCCATTTGCAACAACATGGATGGACCTTGAGAACATTATGCTAAGTGAAATAAGGCCATCGAAAAACCTAAGAATCATATGATTTCACTCGTATGTGGGATATAAAACTTATAGACACAGACAAACAACAGCATGCTGGTTACCAAAGGGAAGGCTGTGGGGGAGGTAGCAAAGAGTCAAGGGGGCCAAATATTTGGTGACAGAAGATGATTTGACTTTGAGTGGTGGGGGGAAAAAACAGCTGAAAAGGGCAGGGATTGTCTCCACATAGAACATGTAGTCTAGTGGACAACTGTTAAGGAAGCAAGTATGACCAGGGTGGGGGAGGAGAAGGCTGCTGTTACGGGATTTTCAAAGGGTTCAAGTAAGGGAATAGGAAGGCCTCTTTCTGGCATCACAAAAGCAGTGCTGTTAGGAAGCCTATCACTGCCCTCCACCCCAGTCCTCCCAGTAAACCGTTAGACTCTGTTTCCTTCATTTTGTTGAGTAGAAACTACAGAGATTTTAACTATTGCAGTTTATACTAGGCCGTAAGCAAGGGCTTGTTTATTGTTCTTGGAGAAAGCAAGCTGCGTAGTCTTGGTTACAGTGACAGACATGAAGTTGCCTGTGATCAGGAATGGCTAGAACGTTATTCCCTTTCTTTGTGTGTCACCACCCCCCCCTCCGCCCATGGTTTTAAAGTTAATATAAAGAGGAAATGTTAACTAAAATTAATTATAAAGGGAAGTATATCCTGTCACTTGGTATACAAAAAAGCTTGTCATAAAAGTAAACTCAATGGAAAAAATGTTAATTTGTAGCTAGAGGCCAGTATCCGCTGAAGGCTCTGGAACCAGCTATTAATAGGTGATAAAGAAATATAAAAGACACACCAGCAGCAAACAGACTTTCTCCTTGAAATAATCAGAACAGTTGAAAAAGAGAACAACTTAAGTGTTATTTTAATGCCTTGACCTTATACAGTGAAAATGATGATTTCCCATTATTTTGGAGATGGTAGAGAATTTGCATTTAAGGAAAGCCATTCTTCCAGGTTTATAATAATTGCTATTTCTGTGTCTACTGACTATCAGGATTCCATTTTATACATACAGTTTATAGTATTTCCCAAGTATATAAGTATATATCACTTTTTTGTTTGTTTTTTTTTATATAGTTGGTTAAAACTTGCTTTCTTGGATTACTGTGCTTTCCCTACTAGTAAGTTTTTTTCAAAAAGAGGATCTTGTTTGTTTTCTTCCACAGGACCAAGTATTGTGTGAGGCAGAGAGGAAGTAAATACTTAACATTTGTCGAGATATTTCTTTGAAATCACTAATATAACCCTGTCCTGTAAATTATTTTAACACCCCCTGACAGTTTCATTGACTATTAGAATAAATTTAAGTTGGAATCCCCAGCATTTCTTGAATTAACTTAGTATTTGAACTAGTATTTTTAGATAGTACCATTATGTTCAAAGGCTTTAGTCGTTTATATTAAAGTCTTATCTCTTGTATCTATGAGAAAATAGATAACTGATATTACTTTTTGGTGTGTTTCCTCCCCATATATTAGTTGAATGCTATGCAATTCTATTAAATAGTTTTTCTCTGCTGAAGGCAGAAAATGTTCAAGTTTGGTCAGTGTGGTATCCCCACGTTGTTTGCTCTTTAAGCCCATTTTAATATACCATCACCTCTACTTTTAAGGCATACATTTTTAAGTTATATGGGATCATCTCAGTGGTATCTGACCAGTAGTATTTGTTTTTTATATTTTGGTGGGAATGGGTGGGTTGTCCCCTCAAGTATCTCTAGGAAACACTGTTGCCTAGAGCAAAT